TGATGGAAAAGAGTGAAGCTGTTTTATGAGTGCCTCCTACTGAAGTTCATGCTTTTAAAAATAACGTCTACAGGTGTTACTCAGAAATAATGAAACAAGTACTGGAAGAAACAGCTAAAAAATTGGGGGGAGGAGGACCTGGCAACAGACAATGGTAGGACAGGGAACTGTCATTTTTTGTTATATGTCTTATGAGAACTACTTTGATTAAAGAAACGTAATTATGAAGAAATATTTTTTAAAGATTTACTGAAAACATACATGATACTGAGTATCCCTGGATGTGTTTGCCTAAGTTATATTACCCTGGGGATTGGTCACTTTTGATTGCCCCTAGCACCACCACACTGGCCCCAGTAGTGCTGTACCCCAATCACACCTCTCTGAAGCTACGGCTGAAATGTTGCCAGAAACCTTTTCTTTTTGTTCTCTTCAGAACAAGTGAAACAGAAGGGAATTTTCAAACAGATTTTCCTATGTCTTAGTAATGGAAAAGTGACTAAGAATACATAACTATAGCATGGCCACACACACACACACACACACACACACACACACACACACACACACACTCCATAAAAGCCCATAAAAATGGCTTGGCCTACAAAGACAGATTCTGATCCTTCCAGGCTAACTTCAGCCCAAGGTTGGCAGGCCTGCCAACGAATCAGTTTGGAGACGGCCACTCTGGCACCTTGCCTTGGTTCTTCTCTCTCTAGCTCAGCACGGCCCCCACTTGGAGGCCGTATATGGCCCACCATACAGCAGCTGGCCTCCTAGTCATCATATGAGCCATTCTAACTCCTGCTCATCTCATTGAGGGCTCTCCCACTTAGTTTTGCTTTCCACTTAGTGACATGACTTCTTCCCTCAGCTATGTGAGGTCTAGCTGTAGCTGATGACCTCACATGGAGAAAAGACACTGCCCACCTGAAGTGAGTGACCTGCCACTCAGCATATGATGACACCTTTCCTAGTAAAAACGAGGGTTACCACATAGTCCCTATATTGGCTTTTCTGTTCTTACTGACAAATATTAGTTTCTTAACAGTGGAATATAACTGAGTTTTCTTTTTTTGCAGGGGAAGCAAGAGACATCACCAAATATGGCCAAAGTTTGAAACCAGAATTTAAAGTACAGAAATAAAAGAACAGTTGGTACTCTACAGTGATAAATAGTTCTAAGCAAAAGCAAGTCCACAAAAGTAGAGGTTGACACAGGAAAGCATTAAAAACAACATAAACCTCTTCTTTTCTCCATAATCAAAATGACTGTCCTCTGCAAGTTCAGTCCTATTGATAAGAGAGCTGGTGAGGCCAAGGAGGCTGTTGACAGGTGAGTGGACCTGACCTGGAAACTACCATCAGTTGAAAAGCTTTAGTCGACGCAATTTAACTGCCACACAACCGACAAATTAATATTAAATTTGACTGCATCAAATTGAGACTGTCTGTTTAAAAACAGGTACAAAAATTATAAAACCTAAAAGAACAAATCTACTAGTTGTAAATCCTAATAAGAGCAACGGAAGAATTAGCTGCATTTCTTCAAATGATAAAAGCAAAAGGAATCAACGGCATGAATGTGCTGCAATGCAGCAGGATGAACACCAGACCACAAAGACCATGACCTGACCTGAGCTGGGCTGAAGCAACCACAGCCTCTCACCCCAGGGCATCAGCCCCTTTCTGCACCTCCGTTCTCATGGAGGCGGAGGCAAGAGCACTAACAGTGACCTACAGAGAAGGTCTGAGACAGCCAGACCAAACTATTAACCCTCTTGCTAGGGGGACTGGGGATAGGAGTGGAGACTTCTAAAAAATCCTAATACTGCTTGAATTTTTAAATAATCTTATATTATCCTTGGTGCTATAGTTATTTTAATATTAACAATGATTAGCGCAAATCTTGAAACTAAAAGAACTGGAGTCCAACTGGTAATAAACATATACGAAGCAGGAATTTTAGCCAAGTCTAACGCACATGCAGTAGGTGGAATAGTAAGAATTTCAGTTTAGCCATTTTCCAGCTAAATGGGTGGGATTCTCAAAGCCATTGGGCTGTTTTCTCACCTGAAAATACTACTACTACCTGCTTTACAGGTTTGGTTTAAGGATTAGAGAGCAGATACGCAAGACACTCAACATAGCCTTTGGTAGGTGTTCAGTCAACAGCAAAAGCGCCTATTATTATTTCCAGACATAAGAATAAAAGAAAACATAAAGGCTTCCTGTAACACCCAACAGAAGCAGAGTCACAGTACTTCAATTAAAAGATAATAAACGTTAAAAACGGATGGGAGTGGACTTTCCTGGTGTTCCAGTGGTTAAGAATCCACCTTCCAATGCGGGGTATGTGGGTTCAATCCCTGGTCGGGGAACTAAGACCCCACGTACCGCGGGGCAACTAAGCCCGCGCACCTCAACTACTGAGCCCACAGGAGCCCCTGTGCCACAACTAGAGAGCCTGTGCGTTGCAACTACTGAGCTTGCACCGCCACAATTAGAGAGAAGCCTGTGTGCTGCAACGAAGAGCTCGCTTGCCACAATGAAAGACCCGCGTGCCACAACTAAGACCCGACACAGCCAAAATAAATAAATAAATAAATAGGAAGGAAATTGAAAAACCAAACCAAACCAAACAAACAAACAAAGATATAAAAAAAAATGGATGGGAGGGGCTTCCCTGGTGGCGCAGAGGTTGAGAGTCCGCCTGCCGATGCAGGGTACACGGGTTCATGCCCCAGTCTGGGAGGATCCCACATGCCGCGGAGAGGCTGGGCCCGTGAGCCATGGCAGCTGAGCCTGCACGTCCGGAGCCTGTGCTCTGCAACGGGAGAGGCCCAAAAGGGGGAGGGCCGCGTGTATCAAAAAAAAAAAAAAAAAAAAGATAATGCCAAATAATATTAGGTTTTCTATTTTTAAAATACTTGTCACAGGAGGATAAAGTATTGGAGGAAGAAAACCTTGTCAAAGCAAAAATAATAATTAGGTCCACTATATTTCAACACTGTTTTACATCCCAGTTATCAGCTTGAGGCCCTTTAAAAAGTTATTTTTAAACATACAAATCATTTACGTTTGGCCCCAGTTATATCCTCAAGGCTCCTTAAAATGCTTTTATATCTCAAGCATGAAAAATCATCTCAACTGGAGGACAGTTGAAGGATAAAAACTGGAGACCTAATTAAAGTAGCGAGAAGGACTCACACATGCAATTCCGTTCCTAGACCCCTGGACCCATTTTAATTCCACAGACAACTGAAGAGGACAGCCCCATCCTCTATAAAGCCTTCCCTGATTCATGCCCTCAACCCTCAAGCAAAATTAATTACCCCTCCCGTGGTTATACTTATTGTTCATCCAAACAACACTTAACTGAGGCTGAACTGTCCCTTAATTTCCCCAGTTCGTTAAGATTTCCCCACTTCCTAACATACGGAAGTTAAAAAGAAAATGCTGCTGTCTGGCTGAACAATCCAAGTCAGGCCCAGGTTGTGGGAGACACACTGTTACAGCACTGGTCACCCACCACTTTCCCCATGACTTTCCACAGGGGTGCAAAGGGCAAAGGGCAGCACTGCTGCTCACTCCTTCAAAGGAAAACCAACTTCTTGTAAGTGGGTATGTAAAACGAATTTCCCTCTCGCTCTGTATTTTTATTTTTATTTATTTATTTATTTTTGGCCGTGCCTCATGGCATGTGTGATCCTAGTTCCCCAACCAGGGATCAAAGCCGGGCCCCCTATATTGGAAGTGTGGAGTCTTAACCACTGGACCACCAGGGAAGTCCCTCTCTCTCTCTTTTAAACGCTGTCAGTGGTAGTGATGCTCTTTGAAGGTGCACTTGGTACAAGTGCCCTGGCCCAGAACACGATTACAGCACCTTTCTCCTCATAAAAGAAACAATTTTTCACAGCCTTTCTGAATGTTTGGGGAGCCATTTAAAAATTGTGAACAGTGATAAAAACAAGTAGTCTATAGGTCAAGTATGTTCAGAAAATAATCCGTATCTCAGCTGCACATGAAAGGGCAGTGTGTAAGCTGGGGATATGACATCAGGTAAGCCACAAACACCCCAATTTCCTATTCCGTAGAAGTCACGATACAGGTCGCTGTCGGAATTCCTAAGTTATGTACAGCAGCCTGTTCTGCAAGGTTTCTGTTACAATATATGCTGGTAAAAAAATAGTAAATAACAGCTGTATAAGATGAAAAGTTGTCTTTTTGGTGCCACGTGAAAATCCTGGGTGTCTGATGGAAAAAGGAGGCAAAGAACAAGAAGCAGATGCAGGAGAGGAGCCTCTTCTGGGAAAGTAATGAACAGCACGTGCTGTTCTTCATTCTCCAGTGCCTATAACCTAGTGACGCCCAGGCCGAGACCGCCCGCCATGCTGGCCCCTGATGAAGCAGCCCCAGCACAAAGTAGAGGGCGGAATCCAGGAATCCTCCCGGAGGCCCTTTCTCGCCTCCCTGCCTTTGCTCACGCTGTCCCCACCTCTGACATGTCTAGATGCCCGTCCCTGTGCACCTGGCTTTCAACTCAGTTAAAATATTTCATACTCTGTAAAGACAGCCCTTATCCCTCCCTCGGATGCCTGGCCAAATTAAGTCACTCTTTTCAGCAGCTCCAGGACACTCTTCCTGAATCTCTAATGGAGCTGGTGTCATTGCATAGTTTCTTATTATATATAGTGTCTGTCTCTCCCACAAACCTGCCAGCTCCTTGAAAGCAGAGACCGTGACTCGTTCACGTCCATCCAGCACGTAGTAGGTACTCAATAATGTTTGGTGGAAGATGGATGATGGGTGGGTGGATGAAGAGGAGATAAAGCACAGTACCCCAAAGCAGGGAGAGTTCTGAGACGCAGAGATATAAGCACTCTCTGCCTATGCACAGTGAGAGGGCAGAAATGGGAACACGACTACAAGCCACTGCTGCCCTCGTGGGTCCCCACGTCAAGTGATGGTGGCAAACAAAGGTCTACACGGATCTTTACCCAGGGATGCCAACAGCTCATAATTCATCCGCATCACGTCTCTGTACAGCTCCTTCTGCCGCTTGTCTAGCGTGCCCCACTCCTCCCGGGTGAAATACACCGCCACATCCTCAAACACCACGGGAACCTCCTCAAACAGCCCCTCTTCAGAAGGATCCTGCAACAAAGAGCAGCAGTCACTCAATACTCCTCTCACGTCAGACACCCAGCATGATCCTTCCGGGGTCCTGCTCAAGGCCTTTTTCTCCTGGGAAGCCTGCCAAGAGGCCCCGATGCACTCTGAGGAATTCATTTATCCACCAAAAGCCAAAGAAGCAAATGTGTGTGGCCCAGAATTAGCAGGTAAAAACCAAACGTGTTATTCTAGAAGGAAGGAATGATCCTTCCTCTTCTTTCCTGGAAGGAAAGGAAAATGCACTGAGGAACAGGGGTCTTGCAGAACCTCATGGCTGCACCCTGTTCTTTACAGCCCCAAGGGGCACCTTCTACTCATCCACGACTGCAAAGGTAGCCAGCTGCCTCTAGCAGCCCCTGCTAAGGTTCCCCACCAGGATGGGAAGGAAGAAGCAGTGAAAAAGAACTAAAGATGCTCATATTCAGTGACTAGGTTAACACACACTTTACTGCTAAAGGAATTCAGATTGTAAAAGGTTAGACCTGTTTATTAGCTTCGAATACTAAAAACTAGAAGGAACATGAACATGAAGGGAAATGAGCTTTGTCACTTTTCTGGATTCCATAAAAATTTGAGCTTACTAACTTTACATATGATGTTAGGCACGCGGAACGTCTGAGCTCTTCTCATCGGAATACCAGAGGGGTTGCTCAAAGTGATTTGTAGCAAAATCCCGCTTACATGGAAGAGTTGAGAAAAGGGGCCAGATCTGGTTACTCGAAGATTCCAATTAATACAGTTTCTTTGCAGGACAATTTTCCAAAGAATTAGAAAATAAACCTATTTTATTTTACAAAATAAACCTGAGGTGAGAACTAGAGTCTTTGAGGGCCCACCAGTGCTGCAGGGAGTAGAAGGAAAGCACTGGGCTGGCGGTCAAGGGCTCTGAGGGGAGGTCACTGCCGCAAGAGCCCTTGTTCTCTGGCTACGTCACTCCCCCCCTAAGTCTTAGTTGTTCCCCAACAAGATGAGTTTAACTAGGTTTGCTCCACCCACCTCATAGCAGCATTAAAAACACTACATAAAAGGACACGTCTGAGGAAACTTTGCAGTGTTTAAAAGTGCTACATGATTTTGAAGTTAACGTTAAAAAATTTGTTTACATTGATTATTTAAGAGCTCTGTGGCTGTTTTGTGGCTGTGGAAAATTTCCTGAGTTCTGTGGTCGTTCTGGATTCTGGATAAAGATTACTGTTCTGAATTTAGGTGCTCTCTTTATATCAGAAGTTAGAATATCCTGGTCCACTAATTATGTTTTGTCATCTGCCAAAAGGAGATGATGAGAGTAGGGCTGTTGTCACAAATAAAGGAGATAATTAATACATGCAAAGCACTTAAAACAACACCCAGCACATCACAAGCATGTCAGCTTATGGTAACGTTATACAGAATCCTTCCCCTTGAGCAATCATTATAAACGTATTACCTGGCCACGGGGTTCAGGTGAGTCATTACACAAAATGTTAACGTCTGAGGAGCTGCGGATGTCATCAGCAATTTCTTTTTGCCTGAAATCAGGAATGCAGTCTAGGTACAATGCAGGAATTGCTCCACGCCCTCCAGGGTCCTCCAGTGCAGCTCTCGAGCTGGGCAGCAGCTGGACCATGTTATCATAGATCCCCTGAGGCCCTGGGGGGTAACATATGGGGTAATCTGCAGTGAAAAGGTGTCCCGGACTGGACAGCACCTCTCTGGACACGTCGTGGATGCTCCGGAAACGGGCTGCCCAGCTGGGGTCCCGAGCTGCCAAGGCCTTGGCACAGAGCGCGTGGGCCTTGCTCTTGGCGTGGTATTGGAGAGTCTCCACCTTGAATGGTCCTGTGTAACCTTCTATTAACCTTGACCGTTTGTCTCTGACGGATGGGTACTCCCGGCAAGCCGAGCAAAAGAGAGCCGTCCGCTCCTCGTTCATGACCAACCATGGGAACTGCGCAAACCATGCCTTCTGGATGGACCGGGGTCTCAATGGTTTTCTGCTTCTTCCTGTGCAGTCTTCCTGGAGGCTGCCACCCTCTGAGCTGAAATGCGAAGGACAGGCTTTCTTCTGAGGAGGCAGGTAGAGTCCAGCTTCTCTGGCGGGACTTTGCATGTCCATTTCTTCCATGAAGCCCATCTTGTTTTTTCCTTTAGGAAAAAGAAACACATGGAATTTTCTCTGACATCCTATAGGTTGAGTCACTGCAACTCACAGAGGTGCTTAGATCCATGGACTATCAAAGCTGCAACCACACCCACAAAGTGACAGCCTGCACCCGTGTTCTCTTCTCTCCAGCCCCCAACCCCCAGGTCCACCTTGCCTAACCCAGAAGAAACCAAATGGGCTTTAAGAAAACAGTTGGTTTTTTTTTGATATAAAGGACAGATATACCTGGCAAAAAAGAGATCTCTGCAACCTAAAACAGTGGCACAGTCTTCAGGAGAGCAGACTTATTTATGGATAAGAACACTGAACTAAGAGAAGGTAGGGTTAAAAAGGTAATTAAAGCAAACACTGCAACTGCACACTTGGCAGGAACCCCCCTCCTTGGTACCCCTGCCAGACAGGCATCTGCACTTTGCTCATGTACCTTTAGAGCAAGAGAGCAACCTACCTTCCGGGCAGACAGTTTGGTCCCCAGAGTCTTCCCTGAGCTGCAATCCATCTTTGAGTACCTTCCCCTCAGGAGTGCTACTTCAGCCCTTCCCATACCACAACCCTTCCAAGAAGTGAAAAATCCCATGACGTCACTAAGACTTTTCTTCTTTAAGCTAAACCAGCAGTTTCTTTATTCACTCTTTGGTTGAAATGCAGCTTAGACAACTCTAACTCCTCTGGAGCCATTTATTACGCACCAACAAGTTCAGATGCCCAGTGGGCAAGGACTCAACAGTACTTTCTCCCGGCCAATGGACCAGTCAGTCTACGAAACTGTAGCCAACCCCGGAAGCACAAAGCTACGAGTAAAGAGTCAATGGGCTCAAAGTTAAGAGCCAAGCACAGGAGAAACAAACCGAAACAAATTAGTATCTGTGAAGTCTAGGGCTCCTTGCGGTCCATCTGAGATAAATCACAAGGGAGAGCAAACATCCACAATTCGATCCATCGGGGAACTCGTTCCACCTCCCTTTTCTCCTGTAGAAGGGGCTGGGTTAACGTGCTCGTCTTACACAATGACAGAGGCCATCTGGCCTGGCTCTGGGCAAGCCAATCCCTGAACAGGACATGCTTATCAAAGGAGGAAAGCAAACATCAGTCCCCAGGATTTAGCAGCCATCTGTTTATTCACTCATTCATTCCATGATTGTCTACTACGCAACCACGTGCCAGGCATTGTTCTTGGTACTGGGACTACAGTAGTAAGTAAGACCAAGTCATGCCTTCATGGAACTTAGAATATATAATTATACATAAACATCTACTCTCAGGTAGAAATAAAATAAAGGGAGATGAGAGTTTGGAGAACAACATTGGGGGAGGTGTGTATATCTTAGACGGGTGACAGTTGGGGGAAGAACAGCATTCGTGTGTAATTGGTGGGGAACAGGGAGAGGCAGAGGATGAGACTGGAGCCTTGGGACCCAGCTTCCTGCTCCCTCCCTCCAGCTAAGGACCCCTCCTCCCGGGGGCAGGTCCGCACTCACCTCGGTGGAGGCTCAAGAGACTCCTCTGGCCCTGGACATTGGCTAGCCACTGCTCTGGCCCTTGCTCAAATTTATAGAACAGCTCTGGGGTGGCAATAGTTGGTCCTGAGTCAGGAACAGAGAGATGCACTGTGAGGTCGGATCCAGGTCACACAGGCTAAGAAGGTATGAAAACTACTGGTCCAGAACAGAGGCTCAAACTCAAATGCGGAGCGGGACCAGACAATACTCTGAGGAAACCAGGCAGGGGTGGGAGGCTGTGGATTTGAACCCAGGTATGGGGTAGCTACTCAAGTCCAGGAGGGGCCGCCAGCTGAATACAGGGTCAGCATGGCCTCTAGACCATCCCAGTTTCCAACAGAAGCCAGAAATCATATTTCTATATGAAAACCCCCCCATGGCGAAATACTGACAACTTATTTAAATATTTTAAAGCCAAAGAAAAGAGATGAAAGAAAGAAAGAAAAAAAAGGTGTAGGCCAAATCTGGCCCACAGCTGCTACTTTGCAACTTCTGGTTTAAAAGAATCATTGGTTTTCAAACCATTTTTAGTAGACAGTAAGACCACAACCCCTCCATCCACAGAGAGCTGAGACTGTTGCCCCCAGAACCCTGAGGGGTCAAGAAGAAAAGAAGCAGAGAAAGGCATGGCGCATGGTCATCAAATTGAAATCCGAAAAGAGTACGTGTGCATGTACACATGATGAAATACATTCCTCTCTGTCCATGGTCTAGGAAGTCTACCCATAGAAGCAGAGAAAGGACATTCAGAAAATAGAAAAGATGAAAACTACCTACATGGGCACAAAGTTTCAAGTTGTTTTATTTCATTGAACCTCTATGACAAGCCTGTGAAGAAAGAAGCCAAGGCTTGAAAAGGCTAATGGGCTTGGTCAGTACCATGTGGCAGAGCTGGGACTGAGACCAGATTTCCAGGCTGCAGATCTGATGCTCGTTCCACCACCACCCACCACCTCCAATGTCCTCTGGGCACTGAAACAAAATCCACCTGCAGTGCCACAGCCCACAGGTGGGGCTTCCCTTCTGGCATGCTGGGATATTCTGAAGCATCCAGGTCTAGCCTTGACACGCCCAATTTCCCCACTTCTCTTGGCTAATTTCAGTGGAAAAGAGAAAGGGTGATGTGTGAATCCGTGTGCAGTTAAGTCAGATATGGGACTGAGTGGATAAATAGTATAAAGATGCCTGGAAAAAAATGGTCGGATTCCAGAAAATTCTCAATATGTCATAGTCAGACATGGTTGGGAATGCTGACCTAGATTCAGGCAGTGGGGAAGTGAACAGGAGCCCATACCCAGGGGTGCCGCCAGCTCATCAGAACCACAGATCTTCTGTTGCTGACTCAGCAGCATCCACTCCTCCTGAAGCAAATACACCGTGATGTCATCAAACGTCACAGGAGCCTGCAAGGAAAAATGACACCAGCTAAGCACCAACTTCTTCCTTAATCTTCCACACCTGAGCTCACAACCACCTGAGGACACCCCTACTCTGGGAACAGATCAGACTGGGGGAGGGGGCGTTATCAATCTACATACAAGACCTACACCGCATTACTCTCACCCCCTGGGTGCAAGTCACAGCGGGAATAAGACCCATTCTTCTAGGAACAGCCACACACTGCAACAGAAGTGTCATAACGAAGGCCAGCTCCGGACTCTCACACGCGTCCCCCTGCACACTCCTCACCAGCCTTCGCACAGGATCCATTACTTCTCAGCCAGTGCGTCAGCCACAACCAACAGCACTTCTTTTGCAAAATCTTCAACGTGGTAAATCCTCACTTAGGAAGATGTATCTGATTTCTGGAAGTAGTCAACCGTCACTGAGAACTATGTCTGTGAATGTGGTCAGTTATCAAGATGGGCAAAGCTTTAGAGCTGAGAACTGTATTCCATGGGGCTTATAAAGGAGCTCTCTCTGTTCCACCAAAGAAGGGCGAGGAAATTCAGAAAACGTTCAGGAAGTTCTGAATTAAGATGGCAGATTGAACACGTACACTGAATTTTGCTTCCTCCTGTGAGTTTAAAAAGACACTCTCCCCCCGAAAAAAACTCCAAACAAAACACCCTCTAAGGACTTCCCTGGTGGTCCACTGGTTGAGAATCTGTCTTGCAATGCAGGGAACGCCGGTTCGATCCCCGATCGGGGAGCTAAGATCCCACATGCCGCGCAGCAACTAACCCCGTGAGCTACAACTACTGAGCCTGCACACCACAACCACGCACCGCAACGAAGAGCCCATACACCACAGCGAAAGATCCTGCGTGCCGCAACTAAGACCCAATGCAGCCAATAAATAAATAAATAAATGTTTTTAAAAATTGTTAAAAAAAAACACCCTCTGGGGTAGACAACACAACAAGGGGACAATAGCAATACAATTTTGTTAACTGAAAAGCAGATGAAAAAGTAATAACTGAGCAGATCCAAGAAAATCATACCCTCAGCTAGCAGTGGGCAAATGGAGAAACAACCCAATTTACATTTGCGAAATCCTCAAAAGACTCAGGATCTGGCAGCCCCAGGAACCTCTGGCCTGGGAGTGAACGCAGCGAGGTTAAAATAATAAGAATTTGGGGGAAGCTGTTCGGAACAAATGCCTGCCCAGATCCCCTACACAGGCTCCAAGCTGGCAAGTCCCTCCCTTCCACGTGCTCAGAGCTTCCAGTTAGAATTCTGTTTTTTCCACTGTTAAGCGTCAGCAAACAACTGGACTACCAGACATCTGAGGAAAGGCTCTAACAGGTCTGATAGAGATCGAAACAGACAGGAGATGAGCAAGAGTGAGGAGGAACTGAGGAAATGGAAGTGGGGCATGGAGCAAAAAACCTTTAAAAAACAAAACTATCATCAATAGCCTCAGAGAGGTAAGATATTGCAGCCATGAAGAAAGCGGTTATAAAAGAAATAATCGGAAAACAGAATCTGTTGCTGTTTACCCTTTTAAATTTCATATCACCAACATTTATCACCTAGTCAAAGAAATAAAAAAATAAATAAAACTATCAACAAAAAGGAAATCCCCGGGCTTCCCTGGTGGCGCAGTGGTCGAGAGTCCGCCTGCCGATGCAGGGGACACGGGTCCGTGCCCCGGTCCGGGAAGATCCCACATGCCGCAGAGTGGCTGGAGCCTGTGCTCTGCAACGGGAGAGGCCACAGCAGTGAGAGGCCTGCGTACTGCAAAAAAAAAAAAAAAAAAAAAAAAAAGGAAATCCCCGAACCCCCAAAAAACAACATTTTGGGAAATAGCATCCTTGTGACATAAGGATGTCCTTCCAAAGTGACAACTCTGAAGGGGACACAGTCATTTCCATTTGTAACAAGTTCTAGTACATTTGTTTAAAATCGCCTGTAATTTTATACTCAAACTTAAAGCACATGAAATATCTACTTTAACTTCAACATAGAGGCTTCTTGAGAAAAACAATACAGACAATTATCAGTCACTATTGATTTGTATATTTTAAAGTAAGTTGAGTATTTTTCTTATGAGTCAATATATGTTTACTGCAGAAAATTTAGACAATAAGCAGAAAAGATGTTTTAAGATCACCCCCAATCTCCTTACTGAAAAACAACTACTATTGACATTTGGTATGTAACCTTCCAGTCTTTTGTCTACGAATATGTATAAATGAACAGTCTTAAAAACAAACATGGAATTGTACTGCCAATGTGTATGTGCCAATAGTATGCCAATGTGTATTTTAAATAACTATTTGCTCTCAGAGTGTCTTCCAAAGCAAAATGTGATTATAATTGCAAAAACCTGCTGCAGGATGGGTTCCACTAAGAGCAGGCGGGCGGACAGCAAAGAGGTACACACAACATATGGCCTAAGGAGAGCCAATGTGGGGAGGGGGGAAGAAAACCCTCGAGATTATACTGAAGGCAGATCCTAGCAGGATGACCGTATACTAGGACTACAGGGCAAGGTGTTCCGATCAGGGCAGGTTAGAGTTTGTGGCCAAGGGCAAGCAGGGTTCCCTATTCATTCCCACCCACCCTGTCTTCCTGAGGGGACAGGTGGGCATAATGAAAGCCAACAGACCCATCACTTTATGAGAGCCACAAGGATGAAGAGTATGGCCAGGGCTGAATGTTTAGATAATGAAGAACTGTCTTCCCAACGAGTAACTACGCTAAGCCTTGAACCTCTCTTTTAACGAGTATTATGGCAAGAGCCTTCAGATGACCGCAATGGAAAGGAAACACAAATCTGCTTGAATAAGAGGAATTTCTTACCTACATAGAAAACAAGGACTATCTCTGGATGTTCAACTTTACTGATTCCCACTGTCTATAAGGCAGAGCTCCGAGTTCTCAGCCCAGCACCAAGTTCCCTGGATCTGAACCTAACTTACCTTCCTAACCTCAGCTCTAGGTATTGCCCCACCTGGAATCTCTACTACAGCCAGATTAGTATAACTGCAATCACTCGGGGACTTCTCTGGTGGTCCAGTGGTAAAGAATCTGCTTTCCAATGCAGGGGATGCAGGTTCGATCCCTGGTCGGCACGTTAAAATTCCACATGCCAAGGGGCAACTAAGACAGTGTGCCACAACTACTGAGCTGGTGCGCCTCAACCAGAGAGCCCGTGTGCCAAAAGCTAGAGCCCACATGCTCTGGAGCCCACGTGCCACAACTAGAGACAGAAAACCCTCACGCCACAACTAGAGAGAAGCCGGTGCACCGCAACGGAAGATCCCGCATGCCTCAATGAAGATCCTCCGTGTGCTGCAACTAACACCAGACGCAGCCAAAAATAAAATTAAAAAAATAAAACATTAAATTGCAGCCACTCAACCTATCTTGTACCTTTCCTCCCTCTTCACACCCAATCTTTACATTCCCTGACTCTGCCTACTTCCTCCCACTCACTCATCAAGTTCCTACTCACATTCCATCTCTTTCTCGAAAGGGACTTCCTGCCCACCTAGCCCAAGCACTTCTACTTCTCCCGAGCAAGGAAGGCTTTATACCCCTCGTGGTGCCTGGTCCACAGGAAGCCTATGCTGATCATCTTATTTTATAACCCCCTTCACCATCACCACCCCTTTCCCCACCACCACATTATACAGAAAATATTTCATAGGCATTTAATTCAGTTTTTCATTCAACATATTCTATTTGTTTCTGTGTGCTTGGAGATCCTAAGATATAAAAGACACTGTCTCTATTTGTCAAGGAGAAAAACCCATCAGGAGATGACAGACAACTGTGATATAAGTGCAATAATAAAACTTCTAAGGGGGGTGGGGTGCCAGTGGTGGCTAGGAACCAGAGATGTTGAGGCAATAAATACATACACAGTGAACGTGTATGAAGCAATAAATACATACACACTAAATACTCCTACTTGGCAGCAACGACAATAGTCTCCCAGAGGGCACATGAGGTGTCAGACTGCAGTGTTCTTCACAGCACCCATACCTACAACAAAAGGGCTTCTGTATGAGATGCTATCTTGAGTCATTCATTCAGAAAATACTGAGAACCTATTACATGCCAGATACTGCTCCACTAGTCTAGCTGGGGATAGAGTGAAGTCAGCAAACAAATAAATGTGAGAATTTTAGACAGTGACAGGGCTGCGAAGAAAATAAAACACGATAACGGGTTAGAGTGATGGGGAAAGGTCCTTGTCCTCTATCCATTATTCTGCCAATGGCAAGCAAGATACCCCACACTTAATCCAATAGGCTAAGACTGCTTTTAGTTAATAAATATCACAAAATAGCATCTAAGGAAGATTCTAATAATACACCAAGCTACTACCTCAGGTGGACCCCCCAGTCTTCCAGCTTTGAGAGAAAAAAGTGATATTCAGAATGGAACTTTAGAACAGCACAGCTATTGCACCCAGGCCTTAGTTATTGTCACTCATCTGCAATACCTCTTACACTGCTAGTTTGTTTTGCAATTACTTTATTTCATCTTTGGATAACATCCTCATTCCCTAGGTTAAAAAACTGATGTACCTGGGAAGGGTGTCCTTTTGAGACACCTTACAATCACGATCAGAATCAAGGGTGAAATTTCCAGTCCCCAGTGTTTTCAATTAGTGGTTGGGCCTGAAAAGGACATAAAATTTCTCCTCCACCTCCCCAAATATCTGTATTTCACTCTTCTCACACCAAAGGCTAAGAAATCCTACAACTGAACAGAATACCTTGAAATCAACCTCAAATCACTAATTCCACTTTTCAGTGCCAATTGTGTATAGCCCTTCTTCTACTGCATTTTGCTCCCCCTCTGTCCAAATTCAGGTTCAGTCTAAACTAAACCTCAGGATATTACCTGAGGGTGTGAGCCATTTCCTTTACTTTTCTGGTATCCCCTAAAGTGCTTAGCATGAGGCTGGCATGCAGTTCACCTTCAATCTTTCTCTGGTTACGTTCTGTTGAGCTTTATTGTCTTGGACTGTTTATAGGTTGTTTCATCTGGAAAATGCATCACGGTAACTTGTGGAGAGGATGGAGTACGGAAGAGATGATTAAGCAAGGAGTAACTTCTTTTGTAATTCAGAGTCCTTCCCAGTCTTTCCAGGAAAAAGTACAGCATCAAAATAACCTCACTATCTTTTCTGTCTTTGTCTGTTGGACAACCCTTCCAGGCTTGTCCATGTTATTGAAGTGAAAACTGCGGGAAAGCTCCTGGAGGAAAGTAGTCATTTCATATGTACTTCCAGCATTTCCATCAACTTAAATCACGGATCACAAATGTTTATTAAATGAGCAATTTTTTTTAAAGGAGAGACTCAGTATGCACTCGAAAAGTTTGTTGAGGAGGTTCCCTTTGTGCCAAAGAAGAAACAATCCTCAAGAACTGGTATCAAATAATATCCAGAAAGATCTCGGTCCCCAAAGGCTGCCAATGTCTCCGAATCAAGTGCGTGCGACCACGCTCGTCTTTGCTGACACTGACTCCGAGCTCTAGCAATCCTGTCAAACCCACTTAACTCTACCTTCAAGCACTTTTCCCCACCTTTTCTTCCAATTCACAGCCTCTTGCTCAAAGCCTGAAGCAAGTTTATGAAATATGCTTCTAAGCAATACTCAAAAACTCCACGAAGTAGATAAGCTAGAAACAGAAATCGGCAAGAAATGTGCCAGATGCCTTGTCTTTTTCTTCTCAGCCCTTTCTTGGGAAGGGGGATCCAGGCAGGGCCAAGCCCTCATCCTGCCTCTCGGTGATCCCTATGCCTGGCTCCCAGTGGGGTCCGATCCAGCCTCAAGGCCTTAAAACACGCTGGGCCTCTTCCAAACGCCAGTGGTGGTGTGGGAAAATAGGAAGCACTTTCGCACTACTACACTGAGCGGGTCACCCACCCAGCGTCAACCGGGCGGGCTCGGCGGAGGGCTGCTAGGCCAGCCGCGTGGGGAGGGAGCGGAAGGCTGCGCGGGACTCGCCCGGAGTCGGCCGCCGAAGTGCAGAGGAAGAAGCGGGCGAGCGGGCGAGTCCTTCCCTGCAAGGCTGGCTCATCTGCGAGGACTCCGCCCGTACCGCCCGCCTCGCCCAGATCAGGGATCTACGGGAGGGGAGTGGGCGGCCCCAGGGCCCTTCCAGGCCTACCTTCCCCGACTCCCTGGGCTCCATGGCCCTGCTTTCGGTGGCCCGTGCTGACCCCGCCACGGCCTCCAGGCCGCCCCCTCCCCCCGCGGCCTGGCCTGAGAACGCCGTAGCCGCGACCACCTTGGGGACCGGGACCCCCGGAGGGGAGGGCGCCCCGGCGGGGAGGGAGCGCGGCCCGGAACCGGCTGTCCCTGGTCAGAGGGGGCGGCGGCGCTCGCGGAGCCTGGAGAGGCGCGCAGCTGGTACTCGCGTCGCGCCGAGCGAGCCGCTTTACGGCAGCAGCCTAGCCCGAGGCGGCGGCGCATCATGGGAAGCGCGGTCCAGGCTCGGTAAGCGGCTCCCAAGGCTGCTATTGCTCCGGGAATACGGGGTCCCGATTGGACGAAGCAGCTAGCTCTCCGCCCTTCCCGCCTCCCTCCCCCGGCGATGGTTACTAGGTAGCGTACCCACGACGCTCTCCCAGGCCCTATAGGAAGGGCAGAGTACTCTGATTGGGCTATAAGATTGCTCGTGCTTGCGTCTATTCCCTCGCATTTTTAGGGCGAATGTCAACCTTGAAGATTCCAGACTGTATCTACTCAAGGAGGTAAATACTTTTTGTAGCATTCATTCAAAAAACATCATTGGTTGCCTGTCATGTTGCCAGGCATTGTGCAAAGGTTTGGGAATGCGCAGTTGAGTTAAACAGAAACTTTGCCTCCAAGGAATTCGTAATCTATTGAGGAAACAGACGGTAAACATTAACTACAAAATGAAGAGACAGTGCAACGAAAGACGTAAACACAAGACTCTATTAAAGCACACTTTGTCACCTTAGGGTGCGGTGGTGGGACGATATGGGGTAGTTAGTAAAGGATTTCCTGAGGAAATGCTGCCTGAGTTGAATTAAAACAAGAGGTAGGAGTTAGCCACGTAAAGAAGGTGCTATGGTGTCCCCTCCAAATTCATGTGTTAACCCCTATGTGATGGTGTTTAGATGTGGAGCCTTTGGGAGGTAATTAGGTTTAGATGAGATCATGAGGGTGGGGCTCTCATGATGGGATCAGTGTCCTTATAAGACAAGACACCAGAGAGCTTGCCCTCTCTCTCTGCCATGTAAGGACACAAAGAGAAGGTAGCTGTCTGTAAGCCAGGAATAAAGTTCTCACCAGAACCCAACCATACTGGCACCTTGATCTTGGACTTCCAGCCTCCAGAACAGTGAGAAGATAAATTTCTGTTGTTTAAGTCACCTGGTCTATGGTATTTTGTTATGGCAACCTGAGCCAACTAAAACGGGAGGAGAAGAGGAGTGTTGCTAGGAAGAGCAATTGTGCATGAGAAACAACCTCGGCAAAGCCAGGGAGGTGAGCAAACAGTGTGTGTAGGGAAGGTGTGTAAGACAGGAAGTGGTGGGAAATGACGCTGGAGAGACACGTGGGATGGATGTGGAAGGCATTGTGTGCTGCCTTTAAGGGCTGGAAGTAAGTTTTTAGCTGGTGACTGGTGTGGGCAAATTGCACTTTAGTTACTGAAGAGTAGAAGGTGAATATAAAGGGGAAAAGATAGAAGAGAGAAAACCAAACTCTAAATACATATATTTACTCTCCATTCTTCTCTCATCTTCTTTAAAAGTTGTAAAATTTTATAAAGTAATAGTAACAATGTGTTGTTTCACTTGTAATATATATGGATGTAATGTGTATAATAATAATACAAATAATGGACAGTAAAGTGCAGAAATCTTAAGTGTACAGCTCAATGTATTTTTACATGTGTACCATGTAGTCAACACCCAGATCATATATAAAAAATTTCCAGAACTCCAGAAAGTTTCCTTGTGGCCCTCCCATTATGTATACATAGGGGTAAAACTACAGAAAGTAAGGAAATGACTATCATAAAAGTGTTGTCCCACTTTTGCACAGCAAAGGAAACCGTAAACAAGATGAAAAGACAACCCTCAGAATGGGAGAAAATATTTGCAAACGAAGCAACTGACAAAGGATTAATCTCCAAAATATACAAGCAGCTCAATAACAAAAAAACAAACAACCCAACCCAAAAATGGGCAGAAGACCTAAATAGACATTTCTCCAAAGAAGATATACACATTGCCAACAAACACATGAAAGGATGCTCAACATCACTAATCATTAGAGAAATGCAAATCAAAACTACAATGAGGTTTCACCTCACACAGGTCAGAATGGCCATCATCAAAAAATCTACAAACAATAAATGCTGGAGAGAGTGTGGAGAAAAGGGAACCCTCTTGCACTGTTGGTGGGAATGTAAATTGATACAGACACCATGGAGAACAGTATTGGAGGTTCCTTAAAAATCTAAAATTAGAACTACCATATGACCCAGCAATCCCACTACTGGGCATATACCCTGAGAAAACCAGAACTCAAAAAGAGTCATGTACCACAATGTTCATTGCAACACTGTTTACAATAGCCAGGACATGGAAGCAACCTAAGTGTCCATCGACAGATGAATGGATGAAGAAGATGTGGCACATATATACAATGGAATATTACTCAGCCATAAAAAGAAACAAAATTGAGTTATTTGTAGTGAGGTGGATGGACCTAGAATCTGCCATACAGAGTGAAGTAAGTCGGAAAGAGAAAAACAAATACCGTATGCTAACACATATATATGGAATCTAAAAAAAAAAAAAAGGTTCTGAAGAACCTAGGGGCAGGACAGGAATAAAGACGCAGACCTAGAGAATGGACTTGAGGACACAGGGAGAGGGAAGGGTAAGATGGGAAGTGAGAGAGTGGCATTGACATATATACACTACCAAATGTGAAATAGATAGCTGGTGGGAAGCAGCCGCACAGCACAGGGAGATCAGCTCGGTGCTTTGTGACCACCTAGAGGGGTGGAATAGGGAGGGTGGGAGGGAGGCTCAAGAGGGAGGGGATATGGGGATATATGTATACATATAGCTGGTTCACTTTGTTATACAGCAGAAACTAACACAACACTGTAAAGCAATTATACTCCAATAAAGATGTTAAAAAAAATAATAAAAGTGTTGTCCCAAATGCTTAGCTCAGCAGTGTGGCTTCTGGCCAACTGCTTTTTCTGGCTCCACAGACTTTGAGGGTGGATAAAACAGGGATTACATAAGTAGAGTAACTAGAAGGAGCGGAGTTGTGGGACGATGATGAGCAGTTTGGGACATGATGATTTTAAGTATCTAAGTGATATTCAAATTGATGTTCTAGTCAGCAGTTGAATGCACAAGTGCATAGCAAGTGTAACCTATCTGCGAGGACAGAAATCATGTGGACAATCAAATTATAATAGCTGCTTTATCATCAGGAATTTCAATCCTTTTACACATTTCCTTTCCTCAATATTTCTGACAGTCGTTCCCCATTGAGGGATATATGTGATTAAGAATGAATGATTGGGGGCTTCCCTGGTGGCGCAGTGGTTGGGAGTCCGCCTGCCGTTGCAGGGGACACGGGTTCGTGCCCCGGTCCGGGAAGATCCCACATGCCGCGGAGCGGCTGGGCCCGTGAGCCATGGCCGCTGAGCCTGCGCGTCCGGAGCCTGTGCTCCGCAACGGGAGAGGCCACAACAGTGAGAGGCCCGCGTACCGCTAGGGCGCGTGGAGGGCTGTGGTGTCACCGGGCGGGGGCGCCCCTGGTGCCAGCACTCGCAGTGGTGTGCACGCACCAGGGTCCCCCGGTGCCTGCCCCGCACTGCAGCTGCCCTGAGTCTCCGTGGCGTTGGGCTCCCGGCACGTCTGCTCACAGGGCCCCAGCTCCCCGGGGGCCACCTGCTGCCACATTTCTCCGGGGGGGGGCACTCTGCCAGGGAAGACCACCGAGCCCACCACTCGGGTCAGCCCTGGGTGCAGCCTCGATTCTCCCCCCTCCCACACTGGGCACCCTTGGGTCCCTGCTCCTGTCCCCAGCGCTGCCCACTCGGCTCCAGCAGCCTCCAGACTTCTGGGTTTCCGAATATACCTCTCTGCTCTATCCACCCTCCCAAATACTAGTGGCGCCCAGCTTGGTAAGTGGAGGTAGCACCGCCTAGGACATGCAGGCCCCTCTCCCCTTATCAGGGCCAGCCTGGCCTTGGCTTTGGAGGGACCAGCAGGGATGTGGGCAGCCCACATCTCACCCCGACAGCCAGCGACGGGTCAGCTGAAGGCTCCGCCTTGGCCGACACTGGGAAGACACTGCTCTTGTTCAGATGCCTGCCACGCCTTCCTCCCCACCCCCGTTCTCAGCAGCCCCGCCCTCCATCCCCACCCACGCCCCCAGCCCTCACCAGCGGGTGCAGTTCTGGGTGAGCAGAGTCCCTGGGGTCAGCTCCCAGCCCTGCTCTTCAGGAGTCAAGCTGAGGCCCCAGGGCAGAGAGCTGGGCGCACACACGTGCCATAGCGCAGCAGCTGCCGGGGCGGGGCAGGCTCCGGTTACACTTGGACCATCCCCCCTTCCCCCCACTTGCCTGCTCCCTCACGGGAGAGTCAGGGCATGGTGCCCACACCCACCTGCCCTCCAGGGCAGTCACAGCCAAGCTGGCAGGGCTCCTGCATGCAGAGGGTGCCAGGCTGCAGATGCGAGCACAGGCGCGGGCACGAGGTCGCACAGGGGCTGAGTACCTGGCCAGGTGGGCGCTCTGGGGGGAGCGCAGAGAGTGAGGTGGTGTCCCAGGGAGGGGGCTGCCTCGGGACCCTCCGCCGGCCGTGGCGATCAGCCGGGACGGGCCCTGGGCTCGGCAGCACGGCAGGGAAGAGCAGGCACCCAGCGCCCTGGGTGCTCACCGGGGCAGGGCTGCAGGTTATGTTCCTGCCGTTGCTCCGTGTCCTGGGCCTGGCACGGTGCCCCCGCAGGACCTTCCTTGCAGCTGCTCCAGGCTGACCAAGGCCCGAGGGCTGGACACTCATGGGGGCGGCACATCAGGGACCCGTTAACACAGGTGCTGTGCCAGCGGTGTGCAGAAAGGGCTCAGACCCTTGAGAGCCAGGGTGAACAGAGCCTCTGTTCCCCAGCAAGGCCCATAACCCTGACCTGGCCCGAGCCTCCCACCCAGAGCTCCCCGTGTCCCTGCCTGGCCGCCGGCCGGCAGCCACACCAGCTTTTGCAGTCCAGCCACCCGCCTTGGCCGGAGCCAGCACCCATGAAGCACTGGGGCTGGGGAGGCCACAGCGGCAAGAAGACATGGGCACACGGCGCCCATCCTGTACCAGCTGGCCAGGGGGACAGCGGCAGCCTGGGAGAGCGGGGCTGGGGCGGGCGCACATGACGGATCCCTCTGTTAGCCAGCTGGAGTCCAAAGCCTCAGGCAGCCCTGGAGCGCCCTTCCTCCCGCCCCTCCCCCCACACGACCTGTTCTCCACCTGCCCTGGGTGTGGGCACCACCCTGGGAAACTTTTTTTTTTTTTTTTGCGGTACGCGGGCCTCTCACTGTTGTGGCCTCTCCCGTTGCGGAGCAGAGGCTCCGGACGCGCAGGCTCAGCGGCCATGGCTCACGGGCCCAGCCGCTCCGCGGCATGTGGGATCTTCCTGGACTGGGGCACGAACCCTTGTCCCCTGCATCGGCAGGCGGACTCTCAACCACTGCGCCACCAGGGAAGACCCCCTGGGAAACTTTGAGGCTTCCTGAGAGCATCCTTAGGACGCAGCCTGTCTTGACTAAGGCTCACTCGGGCAGGACCCCCAGCCGGTTGCTGAAAGTGACTCAGAGATCCACTCGGCTGCCCTATAACTCACGGCCCAGCCGTCTGCCCGCCACCTGGGTGGCGCCGTCCCTGCAGACACTGCACGCGGACCCAGAGGTCTGCACAGCTTCTTGGGCAGTGGTCGGCACGGTCCAGGGTGGGCACGGGGTCCTGGGCCTCGCAGCTCTCTCCTGCGGACCAGAAGGTAGGAGTCTGTGTCGGGACTTCGTGAGTCCCGAGCCTTCCCTGGGCACCTCCAGGGCCAGAGGCAGCATCCCCCTCAGGTGCCATACCCCTGGCCCCTCCTCCGCTGCTGGAGCCGGCTACCTGGGCAAGGCCCCATGGTGCAGCTCTCAGTCTGAGCCCATGGCCCCTGGCAGCCTCCTCCAGCGCAGCTGGAACCCCCCCACTGCAGGGTACCTGGCAGTGGCTCCAGGCCCCCCAAGGACTCCACTGGCATCAACCTGGGGAGAAGAAGCGGAAGTCGGTCCCAAGGCCTGCCTCCTGCCTCCAGCTGAGCCCCCTTCCTCACCTTCTAGCTGCTGACCCTCCAGCCTCAGATCCAGCAGGCCCTGGGGACTAGCCGGAGGGTGAGCAGGCCAGCTAACTGCTGGGACGCTGACGTGAACAACGCGGCCCAGCCCTACCTGGCCAGGCCCGACTCCACCGCATTCCAGGCCCCTCCCCCTGTGGCCTCCGCCCCTCCCATCACCTTGGCAGGCTCCCAGGTCTGGGCAGAGACGCTGCTGGCTGAGTGGCACGGTGCAGAGGTCTGGATCCCCGGCCCATGGCCTCCCCGTCTCGGGGTCCAAACAGAGGCGGCGGCGGTGCTGCTCTGAAGCCAGCGTGGGGACCGAGGTGGGGGAGAGGCCAGCTGGGTCCCCGGGTCAGTGCTCCTCTAGGGCAGTCCTGGAGGCAGGGCCCGCAGGGTGACCACTCGGACCAGCGGCTCAGAGGCAGAAGACCTAGGGCGGCACGTAAGCATCCTTCCCGGGACCCTACCCCAGACCCAGAGACCACAGTAGATAGGGAGGGAGGGGCTCAGCTTGTGACCAGGAAGGTCCGGAAACAGGAGAGGCTGAGGGAGGTGTAGGGGGCCAGGGCAGGGTGACCAACCATCCTGGTTTGTCTGGGACCGTCCTTGTCCTAGAAATGAAAGTTCCAAGTCCCGGAAACCCACCCCTCCACCCTGGGCAAACGGGGACAGTTGGTCCCCCTGGTCCCGAGTTACCTTGACAGCCCCGGCTGGTGCGCTGCAGCGCCCCATGAAGGCACTCACTGTGGGAGGGGGCAGTCAGGGTGGGCTCAGGAGGCAGGACCCAGCCCCACGCCGTGGGCAGGGAGCTCATGTAGGGGTAACCTGGGCTCTGGGCTCATTTGGAGCAAGAGGAAGCTGGGACCGGGCCCGTGGGGCTTAGCTTGGCCTTCTCTGCGCGGCTGCCCTGGGGAACCCCTCCCCGTCCCTGTTCCACTCTCTGGTCCCAGCGCTCTGGTGCCACCTTCCCCGCCCCCAACACTCACCACTCTTTGCAGCCCAGCTGCAGGTGGTCCCCGGGGGCCAGGGTCACCCCAGCTCCTTCTCCTGAGATGTGCTGGTAGTTACACTGCTCTGGGGGAATGCAGCCTCCAGCCTGCTCCAGCAGCCCCCGTGCAGAAGGGGAGACGAGGACAGGGCTGTGTGGCAATCATTTCGTCATCCTGGTGCCAGCACCGTGCAGGGCCCACAGCAGCTGCACGCGTGTGGTGCTCAGCCAGGGCATGGGTGAGCGGCCACGAGTCAGAATGCGAGAGCTGTCAAGGCCCCGAGCACCGCAGGTCTGCAGGAGAGGGGTTCATCTTGGACGTCACGGAGGGAAGGAGGCGTGGGGGTGGGCAGGGGGCCCCTCCTCCTGCAGCTCCTCCCCGGCCCCCCGCCCCCAAGCCGTCACAGTTCTCCCACTTGGCAGCCACAGGCCCAGCTGTGGCTTTATGTCCGCTTGTAGCTGCCCCCAGGCACAGTGGGTCTTGCCCACCTCCTGCCCTAGCTGCCCTCTGTCTCTGCCCCTCTGCCTCCCATCTGCCAATCCCTGGAGCACCTGCCAGTGCCAGGCCCCGAACCCCATGCAGCTCCCTGGCTCTCCACGGTCCAAACCAGTTGCTGCAGCCTGTATGGAGGGTCTGACCTGAGCCCAACTCATCTCCAGGCCCAAGGGGCTGACCCCCCTCTCCCAGAATGGACAGGTGAGCCCCCGGGTCAGCGCCGGCAGCTCGCAGCTCCTGCAGCAGCGAGGCAGTCAGCACACAGGAGCACTGCTGCGGGGAGCGCAGGAGAAAGTGCAGTGGCACAGGCTGGAGCCACCTGCCGGGTGCCAGCTCTCCGCATCTGTGCACATCCTCGGAAGGCGCGTGGGGAGAAGGAAGCAGGTAGGGGAGGACGGTAGGGGGCAGGGGTGAGGTCCTGGGCCCTAGGAGAGCATTTCCGGCAGCGAGTGGGACTGTTCACCTGTGTCAGGGGTATGAACGTGAGCGATGCATGGCTATGGGCCTGATCGGAGATGGCCAGGCACCTTCCTGTACAGAGCACTTAGCCAGGACACGGCAGGGTCCACAGAGGCCCTTCTAGGATGGGACGGGGGAGTGGGGAGCGAGGAGCGAGGGAGGAGGAAAGGGCCTCAGCCAGGAACCAGGACACCTGAGTCTGAGTCTAACTCTGCCAGTAACTGTCTCCTGACTTGGTGTGTCCCTTCCCCTCCCTGGGGTTCAGTGTCACCAGCTCTAAGTCAGGAGGCTTAGAGGCTGCCAGAGGCCACAGGGTCTGCAGAGGTGAGAGCTGACAGGGAAGGGGAGAGGCGTGGGTTCCAGGCAGGGTGAGTTCTAACCGGGACACAGGCCAAACGGTGCAGGAAGGTGCCTTCGGGGCAGTGACGGCCCTCCTCGCAGCCAGCGGAGAAGCAGCCCACCTGCCGAGTGATGTGGGCGCAGGAGAAGGGGCAGCCCTCGCCAGGCTGGCACTCCCGGTGCAGACGCCCAGCCGGGCAGCCTGCCTCTGAGGCAGCACCTCCGTCAGTGCCCAGCTCCGGCCCCGCTGCCCTCGCTGCCTCCTGTGCCCACCCCGCGGCCTGCCTCTGCTCACCCTGGCGCCCACCCCCAGACAGGCCAACAACACGCTCCCGAGCCTGCCCCTCTGGGCCCGTGCCACGCCCGCTCCTGCGGTCCCCCCACACCTCAGCACAGCCCGAGTCTACCTCCTTCCTCCTTCACTTGCCCATCACTGGCCTGGGTAAGGCGCAGCCTGTGGGGATGGCGTGGGAGAGGTCAAAAGGCACCTGTGAGTCAGGGTCAAAGGCCAAAGTGGGAATCAGCTCAGTCGGAGTGTCCAGGGCAGAGCCTGGGCTGGGACTCACCTCTGCAGACCTCGGTGCAGCAGATGCGGCTCAGGCGGGCGGTCTGGGGCAGGGTGGCCGGGCGCAGCGCCGGGAGCACAGCTGCTCCCCTCCTCTACACGAAACACTGCCGTCCTCCCAGGGGCCCCAGGAGCCCCGCACCTCCCAGCACTGCAGGATGCCGGCCACACAGGTGCTAGGGACAAGGAAGGCGGCTTCAGAAGACAGGGCCCTGCCCGCTTCCCCGAGGGCCCTACTGCCCAGCTGGCAGTCCACCCCCTCCCTGGCTCACCCTTCCGGCTCACCAGTTGTCACACGGTCCAGTCGCCACCTCCCCGGGCTCCAGGCTCTCCCAGGAGCTGAGCCCAGACTCTGCGGACCGGCTCTGGTTCTCAGGGATCCCTGAGGACACAGGAGTGGGGGCGGACACTTCAGATGGCTCAGCCCCATCAATCCCTCCTCGTACCCTCCTGCTTCCTCCCTCCCTCCCTCCCTCCCTCCCTCCCTACCAGACTCCACCCCATGGGGACCGGGATCCTGGACGCAGGAGATGGAAGCCCCAACCTGGACCAGCCCAAGGATGCAGGAGTTGCCCATTCCCATCCCACAGCCCCAGGTTGGCCCCTGTGGGCAGAGCGGCAGGGGCCAGGCAGGCGGGTGCTGCCATGCTCAGGGGGCCATTGGGAGGGGGAGGGGAGGCACTGACCCATGGCTCCGGGCTGGTACTGGCAGTGGCACTGGGCTGGGGACACACAAAGGCCGTCCTGGGACAGCTGGCCAAGGGGCACCCACAGCTGGGCTGGCAGCCTGTCGAGCCTGGCTGGCACACGACCCCGGGGGACAGGTCCCGGCAGGAGCGGGGGCAGGGCCGCCCACAGGGGAGGAGACCCTAGCCACCTGCACAGTCTACAGCAGGAGGGAAGCAGAGAGGGTGGGTGCTGAGGGGGTCCACCCTGGGGGATCCCGACTGTCGGGCGATAAGCCCTCCTGCTATGCCCACCACCCGCTCGGACCTTCACCCTGCCCCAGTTCCACGGGGTGAGTGACCTAAGGGCTGTCCCTCGAAGAAAGTGACATGCAAGTGTGTATGTGGGGTGTCAGAGGTCAGAGGCAGCATCTCTAGCCTTACAAGGGACCCCCCCCAGAGCTCCACAGAAGCCCTCACCTGTGCATTGAGTAGAACTGTCCTGGCAGGGGCGACTCTGCCTGTGGCCCCCAGGGCAGGGCCGGCCTCCCTCAGAAGTGGGGGGCCAGCTACATGCTCGGCTCTGATGGGACTGCCCCAGGCAAACGTCACAGGGAGACCACGGTCCCCATGGGCCCCAGCCTCCATCCACTGTGCCAGGAAGACAAAATCATCCAGCTGCCCTAGGAGGCCCAAGAGGTCCCAGCCTATTGGGATTGGCGCAACCTAGTGGAGCATCTCACCTGGGCACTCAGGGGGGCTGGCGCAGGTCTCCCTCTGATGCTGGGCCCCTGCCTCCCCCGCCTCCCCAGGGCACGGAACCCCTCCATGCTGAGGAACCGGGCAGGTGCAGGCCCTGGAGCGGGTCCTCGTCTGGCCCCGGCAGGGTTGGGAGCACGCCGTCCTCTCTGACCACGGGCACCAGCCTCCAGGCACTGTGGAGGCGAATGGCGGGCATTGGGGTGCAGCCATCCCTCCCCTGGACCCAACTCTCTCTGCGCCCCTGGGCTGCTTCTCCTCACCTTCCCCGGAGTGGGGTGCATACCTGGGCAAGGCAGGTCTGTGCAGGTCAGCCTGCCCTCTGAGCAGGTGCTGGGCGGGGCACGCAGGCACAGGAGGGAGAGGGCAGCTCAGTCCCGCCGGGTCCTCCGCACACACCCCTCCAATCGGCCCTCCCTTCCATCCGCCTGGCCCCATTTCCCTCTGAGGTCTCAGTCACCCTCCCCGTCCTCTAGTGCCTCCAGCCCCTGCTCCCTGACCCACTCAGGGCCCTCTCAGGTGTCCTGCGGACTCTGTCCTATGGGGAAATGATCACAGGTCGCTACTGCTGACAGGGGCCAGACAGTGGGAGGAAACACCACACCGCCGCCCCCTTGCCCCTCACAGCACACGCCCAGCCCTCCGAAGTCTCCCAGAACTGCGGAGCTGGCTGCCTCGGTTTCCCCACCTGTCAGACAAGGGGTTGGGGGGCCTGCCACAACTCCTCAGGGCTTGTGGGAGCCTAGCGTGCATCCGCTGAGACCGGGAGAGCTCAGGTGCACGAGACACAAAGTGGACTAGTCCTGTCCTCACCCCTGCACCTGTCCCTGCATCCTGCATCCTACCCACACGGTGCCTTCACACCTGCGTCTTCATCCTGCCCACATGGTGCCTCACCCCTGCATCCTGCCCGCACGCCCGCGTCACCAGCAGTTGCAGCCATCGGGCCTCGCCACTTGAGCGCCGGGACGGTGCCGCTCCCGGGTCAGCAGGCCCAGGCAGCTGCAGTGGCTGGGCGGCACGCAGACAGCGTCGTCGGCACTCAGCACCTGACCCGGCGGTCAGTAACCGCCTGGCTGGCAGTGCCAAACCCAGTGCTGGGGGACAGCAAGGGAGGGCCCCGGTCAGCGGAAAGCAGGGCCGAGGGGACCGGGAAGGGGCGCCCGGGACGGAAGATGAAGTGGAGGGGGAGGGGGGGCAGAGGGGAGAAGGTGCGAGGCTCCAGTTCAGAACTGCTGCGTTCTACACTCAGTTTACGCCGCGCGTCCACCGGAGTTTCTCCTCCAGGGGAGGAGGGGGAGGGAGAGGAGAGCCTGAGAGGAGCTTCCCTGGGCGCAGTGGCCTCCATGGAGTGAGGCCCCATGGAGGGATGAGTGGGGACCGAGGCACCTCCCAGACCTCCTAGAACGTAGGGAGCAGACGACTGGAAAGCTAGGGGGAGGGGGGCGTTTGGGAAGGCGCTGGGGCTCCCTGGGGGAGGCCGGGACCAGGCACCGCCTCCTCGTCCTGCCCCCGTGTGGGAGCCTCCCGACCTCCCTGGACAGGTCCGAGCAGGGCCTCCAAGCGCGTCCCTTCTCCCCAGCCCTTCTCTCAGCATTTTTGATTCGGGTCGGCTTCCTCACCACCGCGCAGGCGCCGCTGGACAGAGACCCCGGCGGCCTGCCTGTGTCCCTCTCCATGGTCCTGGGCGGGCGCTCAGAGGATAGCCCCACACCCCCGCAGGCGCAGGCGCACACGCGCGCGCACGGAGGGCAAGGCCTGTGCACCGATACGCCCCTGGGGTTTACGATGATATAACGGGATGATTGCCCCTGCCTATGTGTTTATGCTGCTTCTGTCATAAAACGTTTAAACTGAGAAATGTTTGCGGTAAGGAAGGCAAGGGCTGCTGGGTGAGGCTCGCTCCCACTTCTCTCTGGAGCAAGTGGGACCCTGATGGGCGCTGACCCCGCCCCTTCTCACCACTGTGGGGCAATCCCAGGTCAGAGGGGCCACACCCCAAAGCCACACCTTGTCGTCCCGCAAAGTGACCCTCAGGAGCCCAGACTCACCACGAGGTCGTCACAGGAGCAAGGACAGGGAGGGCCACAGGGGCTGGACTTGGCCCCCTGGATGGCGGTGCAGTTGGTCACTGGGGGGAGGGGACAGGATAGGCAGAGAGCTGGGTGGGTTGCCCACCCCGGCCCACCCAGGCCCCTCTCCCCGTCATGCTCCCTGCAGCTTTTCCACCTCTGCCCCTTGACCCAGCCCCGTCGCCAGCAGGTACCTGGGCATGGCAGAGCCTGGCAGGCGGCCCCCTGGGCCCGAGGCCCCTCGCAGTAATCCCCCAGGCCCCGGGGTGGGGTCCGGCTCTGGAGGCCGCCCACACAGGAGTGGCGGGGGATTGGCTGGTGCAAGGCAGCAGGCATCCACAGGGCGCAGAGGCCACATCTGGGCTCCACGGGACTCACGGTCACACCCCAGCAGGAGGCAAGGCTTCTCCTCTGCCTCAGGGCCTGGGCAAGGAGGTGGGGCAGAAGCCAGTGGGGGCAGCAGTGCCAAGCTGGACGGTGTAACGCCGGGAGGCCTGGTGCAGAAGCGGTGCCGGTGGCATCGGGCAGGGCCACAGGAGGCCAAGCACTCGCTCCATGGGGTCCAGGGTGACCACAGGAGCCTGTGCTCCTCAACAAGAGAGGCCACGATAGTGAGAGGCCCGCGCACCGCGATTAAGAGTGGCCCCCGCTTGCCACAACTGGAGAAAGACCTCGCACAGAAACGAAGACCCAACACAGCCAAAAATAAATAAATAAAAATTAAAAAAAAAAAAGAATTTCCAAACCAATCAACATTTTACAAACAGGAAAACAGAGGCCCATACTGAACGCCACTCGCCCGGGGTCACGTGCTGGTCACGGGGCTGGCAGAGCAGAGCCACGCGCCCTGAGTTCAGTGCTCTGCAGCAGCAGCCAGGGTGGGAGGGCTGGTCAGTCCCTCTTGGGGCACTGAGCTCTGCACAGGAAGCAGGGCCCTGTGACTGTCCAGCCACTGCTTGCCCAGGGGACACACACCAGGCATTGGCCCTGGGGACACAGAGATTGACAGCTCAGCCTAGGCACATTCACTTCTCCCCCGGGGTCCCACCTGGGAGAGGCATCAGCTCGGGGCGCGGCTGGGAAGGTCGTGGGGCTGCATGGGAGCTCAGGGAGCAGGGTCCCTGGGGTGACAGGGAGGGGTTGACAAGGCCGTGGGTGGTGTGGGGATGAGAAGTGAGGGCAGGGCGTGGAGGAAGAGGTGGTGCCTCATCTGTTCAGAAGGAGTAGACACTAACTTGAGTCTCCTGGATCTCTCTCTTGAGTATTTCCTCCCTTTTAGTTTTCTCCAATAAAAATGTTTTAAAGCCCACTTGTCAAATTTGTGGACATTCCAGAAAAAAAAAATCTAAGAGAGAAAAGGCAAAAGAGAAAGGGGCAGGGGGAGAGGAAGAATGAAGGAGGGAATTGGGGGAGGACCAGGGGACAGAAAATAAAAAGAAAGAAGAAAATTAACTGAAAGGAAAGAAAAAAGAACGGAAAATTGAAAAAAACAGAGGGAATGGGGTTAGCGCGCCCTCTACTGGCAGATCCTGGTATCCGTTTTGAGTGTTGGGCGCTTCAAGGTTTCTGAGCAGAAAGCAAGTGCACCCCAGGAAGTGAATTACACTCAGGAAAGACAAAGAGGCAACTGGAAGGAGAACGTAGAACGCCCCCACTCCAGGCTCTAGTTCCATCATAAATCGCCTCTCCCAGCTGAGCCTCAGTCCTCCCATCAGTCAAATGAGCACGATGCCTGGCGGGAGGGACAGGGGTCAGAGTGAACACTACCCCAGCTCACCAACCTCCAACGCCACCGCTACCTCCATCCACCGTCTGCCACCTCCTCCCCCAGCCCTTGCCCCCTCCCCACGCACCAGTGAGGTTCCAGGGCCATAGCAGGTCCAGCTGCAAGTAGGGGGGCTGGGCGTGCCACTGAATATAAGCTTCCTCTACGGGGCTCCAGCCCTGCTGCCCAGGTGCCTCCGTGGGAGGCCTTAGGATGGCAGCCCAGGTGGGGTGCTCCAGCTGCTGGGGCGAAGCATGCAGGCTCCCCTCGGGGCGTTGGGCCAGGCCCAGGGGAGAATAGCAGGGATCTGGGTGCATGAGAGAGGGGCTGGAGCTGGGGGAGGGCAGAGGCTGGCAGGAGCCTGCTAGGGGCATAGATAGGAAGGCACGAGGGGAGTTGGGGGATTTGAAGGGCCCACACAGTTGACCTTGCGGTGTCAACAGGGACAGAAGGCTGGTTCAGGAAAGGCAGGGATGCAGAGGCAACTTAGGCCAGGATGACGTCTAGATGCTTAGGCAAACCATCCTCCCCATGGAAGCAAGAGGTATAGCCCAGCGATCCTGTTTGCCCTCCCAGGTTGGACAACCCTTGGGCAACATCCCCCCTCCGCCCTACGATAGCCCGTGGCCCTTACCTCTGGGGGGAGGCAGAATGTAGGTGATCAGAGGGGCCCCGATCCGGGGGCTTGGGGCTGGAGGGGCCATGTGGCGGACTGTGGGTTGTCTCCTGTGTGGGGAGACCCAGGCTCACACCAGCCCCTGGCCCAGCTCCCTGACCTCTCTCCACTTCCTGGGGCACTTTCTCGCCCATGACTTCCCAGGAGCTTTGAGAACAGCTCCCCAGCTGGAAAAGCCCATCCTCTTTCCCTTGTTGTGAGTTGGGGGTTTTCACTTCCACTGAATACTTAACGTAGAATAAAACCACCAGTCCAAAGCCCCTTCAGGGGCCAGGACCGAGCGGCTGCAGTTCCTAATCCAGGGCTGCTGTTGCTAATTGGGTACCCTTGTGGGCACGAGAAAAGGGCATCTCTGGATGGAAGCGGTCCTCCAGGCTAGAGCCTAGGCCCCACTCGCCACATAATTTATGCAGTGAACCACCTGTACAACTGTGCGTGCGGGCTCTCTCCTAACCTCAGCAGCCTATGGGTGTACTTTTAAGATATGGAATCTGGACCCAAAGGCACATCAGTTTCTGAGCCTTTGTATCTTCCTGTTTTATTTATAATTCAGTTTCCAAGTAAAGATGCTCTTGAAAAGCCCAACTTTGTCATGGTTGCTCTTAGTGGGAACAGGGAAGGAACCAGATCTGGCCCAGCAGAACCAGAGAAAAGAAAGTGTCCTCAAGGGTGACCTCACAGGGGACGCAAAACCCCAAAAAGGTCAGAGGAGGCGGGCAGAGATTGAGGCCTGGCCTTAGGAGAGCAGAGACAAGCAAGCGCTCTTCCCCCCAGCCCCACCCGAGGGCCCCTTCCTTCCCCAGCAACCAGGACCCAGGCTCCCATCACCCTGAGGCTGGGTAGCCGGTGCCCCCCACTCGGCGCTGTCACCTGTGGCTCGCTCTGAGTCCTCGCCACCCTCCTCCCCTTGGGGCCCCTCTGCTACCCCGCAGACCCACTAACCAGGCAGGACACAGTGGCAACATGACTCTCCCAATCCCTCCACCAGAACCCAGTCCTGCGGGCACAAGAGTCAGGCCAGACGTGCTGAACTGGCCACCTACCTGGCCCGACCTGCGACCCTGGCCTCTACACACCTCGCCCCGCCCCCGCCGCCCTGGCCCCAGGGCCCCTGTTCCCCCCTCGCCTGGGGGCAGGTGCCCAGCGGGCAGTAGTGGGAGCTACGTGACGTGCTGCCGTGCAGACACGGGCAGCCCTGCAGGGGCCCTCTCGCCAGCGATCCCCGACTCGGCGGACCCTCGCGGGGCCTCGGCTGGCACCTGGGGAGGGAGGGCCGCCCCTCACCTGCTGAGTGGCTCAGCTAGGCAACCACCCCATTCTGTTTTGCCCGGAGCGAGGGGTTTCCCAGGACTCAGGGCTCTCAGTGATAGAACCTGGAAAGTCCTGGGCCAACGGGGACACTTGGTCACCCCGTCACCCTGATCCCACCCCAAACCCGAGAAACGGCAGCTGGCCCAAGCGAGGGGTATGGAAGAAGCTATGCCAGTGGAGCGGCCCCAGAGGGGACTGGACAGGCGGATGTGGCTACTCCGCCTACAAGCCTCACCCAGGTACCTCCAGAGGCACAGGGTGCAAACCAGAGGGCCCATACCCATCCCTGGACTTGTGGGCCCCCTGCACCCCCTTTTTGGACCTTCAGGGCATAAAGCTGATGCAGGAGAAGGCCAGGGATCCCCGAAGATGCGCTGGGAGTCCTGGTGTTTAGACTAATAGGGGCACAGAGTGCGGGGGTCCTTATCTGGGGTCCGTGGTGCCCGGGGAAGCACCCTGAGCACAGGCGGCTTCCCACGTGGGAGCTGGAGGTGAGGTCAAGGTCCCCGCAGGTCCCTGGCGGGTGCAGTAGCTGCGAGCCTTGTGGTGGATGCCCCAGCGCTGGCGACCTCGGCCAGCGAGGCGGGCATTGTTGGCGCTCCGGAAGGACCACTGAATGCTGCGGCTCCCACAGGGGCCCAGGCACTCGGTCCAGGAGACCAGGATGACCAGCCACAGTTCACTGAGGGAGGGCCAAGAGTCAGGGCCGCAGCAGGGCAGGGTGCTCCGCCGGCTGGTCTGGGAGGAGACCAGAGACCCCTCAGGAAGGGCCGGGGGGGCCTCACCAGCACCGTCTGGGCTGGGCCGGCAGCGCCGGGGCCGTCCATCTCGGCAGATGCAGAGCCGGCAGTCGGCCTCGACGCGCCGCCCGCGCCAGTAGCGGGTGCCGTCCACCAGGCAGGGGCACTGCCGCGGCCACACACACCACCCCTCGTCACCCAGCACCTGCCCCGTGGGGCGCCAGCAGCCTAGGGAAGGCCCAGGGCGAGGCTTCTCTGTGGAGAGCTCGGTCCCGGCAGACATGCCTGCCGTACCCCAGGCCCAGAGCTCCCTTACCTGGGCTGCTGCAGGGCGGTCAGTGGGGCACTCGGCCTGACCAGAGATGTCATCACAGGTCAAAGGGCAAGGGGCACAGGGATGGAACACCAGCTCCCCGGAGCAGGTGACATTGGGGCAGCCGTCCTGAGGGCAGGGTCCTGAGATGAAGCCGAACCAGAGGTCATCGAGGGTGGGTCCCCTTCAGGGACGAGCCGCCCACCAGCAGCCCCTCCACACTTCACCCACCTTGCCCTCCTCCCTTCCACTCACTGGTCTGGCGGGTGCTGGGAGGGGCCCCAGGCAGCACGGCACAGGTGTGAGCCCCGTTCCGGGGTGGGCGGCACTGCCACTGCCGGGCCATGGTGCCCCTGCATGGCTCAGAGCATGGGGACCAGGGAGACCAGGAGGTCCATTCACTGTCCACTGTGAGGAGAAAGGGCCAACCGGTGGGGAGGTGGGCCGTGAGGTTGGGCCGGGGACCAGTGCCTTCCTCCCGCCGGCTCTCTGTAGGCCCCGCCCATCCCACTGGCCTCCTGGTGCCCAGGACCCCGCACCTGGGCAGGCGGCCGTGAAGCAGGCCTGAGTCTGGTGCTCGGGGCCTGGGCAGTGCCGCAGCACCGGGAGACTGGGCGGGGAGCAGCGGCGGCTGCAGCCCTGCACCCCGGGCCCGCACGTCTGGCTGCACGGCGCCCATGGGCTCCAGGGGCCCCAGGCCTCACAGCACTGCTCTTCCCAGGAGGGCCCTGCCTCCCCCGCCAATTCACAGTCAGGCTGCCCGGTGCACACCTGGGGAGGGAACGGGGTCAGGGTGACTTTCGCTTTGGGGGCACAGTGGCTCTACCTTCCGCACCACCCGTTCCCCACCCTCACCAGCTGGAAACCGAGACAGAGGCCATCCGGGTAGGCGTATTCTGGGCCGGGAAGCCCTGTCCTGTTGGGGCCTCCTGGGACTGGCAGCCCCTCTGAAGGGAAGAGGAGAGAAAACAGGTAGGTGGGAGTGAGAGTCACCTCCCAGGCCCCCGCCAGCCGTGGCCTCCATCAGGGGAACAGTGTGCCTATCACAGCCCAGCTCATCCTCGCCCTGCGGACAGTCGGGGAGCCCATCGCAGAGCCGCTCAGGGTTCAGGCACAGCTGGGGAGCCAAACCACAGGGGAAGAGGCTGCCGCAGCGGGGCAGGAGGCTGCAGAGGAGGGCGGGGCAGCCGGAGGCACGGGCTGGGGGTATGAGGCAAAACCCTCAGGGGACACAGCCTGGCTCAGACACCTTTGTGAGGGGTCCAGGAGGGGCAGGCCACAGGGGAGGAGATGGGGCCTGTGGACAGCGCCCAGCCGCCACCAGGTGGCCAGGCCGTGAAGGTCTGACTCGCGGGGACACAGAGGGGACCCCCAGGCCTGGTAGGGAGAAGCTGGGGGGAGCCCCCCAAAACTGCCCCCCACCGCCTGCGGCAGAGCCACTCACTGCCCACCCTCTGATGCATCCAGCCCAGACTCCTCCTGAGATCACAGAGGGCAGGGCTCTGGCAAAAGGGGCGCGGCAGCCCTCTGTGCCAGCCCTGTCACCATGGCCTTGTGGGCCCCTCCCCTCTGCCCACTCTGACCCTACACACAGTGCAGCAGAGTCCCCTCAGGACAGAAGCAGCCCTCCACACGGGCAAAGACAAAGGCCCTTTCTTCTCTCCCCCGGGGCTGGGCGGGCGGGCAAGAGCGTTCAAAGAGAGTTTCCGGGAAAAGATTCAAGGAGGACAAAACTCGCTCAGATTCGGCGGCCCCCAGACCTAAGTCGCTCTCTAGCGAGCGCCACCCCGAACCGCAGGCGCCGGGGTCCCCGTCCGAGCCGTGGGGACAGTGTGCGGCGCCGTCGCACAGCTGCGCGGGGGCCACACAGAGCGGGCCGCGGGCGCAGGGCGGGAGGTGCGGCGCGCAGGGCCGGTCGCGGCCGTGCTCGCCGTCCTCGCCGTCGCAGCGCCAGCCCTGCGGGGCGCACTCGCCGCTGCCGCCGCTCGCGAAGAGGCCGCAGGGCGGCGCTGCGGGGGCTTCCGCGCTCCACCCCGGCGGGGCGCCCGGGGATGCCTGCCGGCCGCCGGGCCCTTCCACCGCCTCCGGCTCCGCTCCCCCTCCAGGCCCTTCCGGCCCCCTACCTGCGCCCGGCCCTCCCCAAGTCCAGCCGCTCCCGCTTTTTGCTGCCCTACTGGTTTTCCAAAGGCTCTCCCGCCGCATCCAAGAATTCCCGTTAGACGCCAGTCGGTTTAGAGGGGGACCTTGAACTTCTGGGAATAAAGTCTGGACTCTTTCAGTCCGCCGCAAACGCTCTTCACTTCCTTCATTCCGGTGTCTCCAGGAGGCTGAGTCTGGGCCCTGCTCCTTCCCACCCCCAGCATCTGCCCCAAGGCCTCCCTCTGAGGTGCTGTCCCCTCCCTTCCAGGCCTCCAGACCCCATTTTCTCACCCCCTTCCCTCCAGGAGACTCACCGGGGCTGACGCTGAATTGGGGAGTAGGTGCAGTCTCCCTGGAGACAGCGGAGGGGCCAGGCAAGGTACCAGCCGGGGGAGTGGGCAGAGAGAGGAGCGGGCAGAGCCCTGGCCCCTCGTCGGCTCCATCTGGGCAGTCCCAGATTCCATCACACAGGTGGATGGTCCCCACGCAGGCACCATCGATGCAGGACACCTCCCCAGGGGTGCAGTTCACTTGCCCTGTAGCCAGAGAAAGGCGCTGGTCCCAGGGTGCTGCCCCTTCTCCTCACTGTTTGGGGTGCCCTCACTCACACACCCACAGGTGCCCATTTCTCAGCTGGAAGCTGGATTGGTGAAGGAGGGGAGGCAGACAGGTGGGGACCCACAAGATGGGTCTCTCGGAAGGGGACGGCTGGTGGACTGGAGTCCGGGGTAGGGACCGCTAACCCCAACAGGACTCCTCGTCAGCAGCGTCCGGACAGTCAGGGTGCCCATCGCAGAGCAGGGCGGGGGGCAGGCAGCGCCCGTCAGCGCAGGCCAGTGAGTCCTGGGGGCACGGGCAGCCCTGCTCATCCGTCCCGTCTCCACAGTCGTCCTGCCCATCGCAGATCAGGGCCAGGGGCAGGCAGTGGCCGGAGCTGCAAGACGTCTGCCCCTCCCCACGGCCTGGGGTGTCACAGCCTGGTGTGGGGAGGGCAGGCAGGCTGAGGATGCCGACGAAGGGTCCCAGAGAAGCCCCCAAACCCAGAAACCAGAACAGCCCTGCCCACAGGTCGCAGCTGCTGGTAACAGGAGCGGCAGCTTAGGAAGCCGCCCTAGGACACATGCTTCCGTTACACTTTCAAGGACTAACCCACCACTCGGCCACTGCCACCCGGGACACTCACCCACCTCGTCTGAGCCATCGCCACAGTCATCCTGGTAGTCACAAAGCCATCCGTGGGGCACACAGTGCCCGCCCTCCTGGCATGGGGCCTCTCCCTCCGCACAGCCAGGCACCGGCTCCTCCCCGCGGCTACCGTCATCCCCAGAAAGCCACTGACTTTGCTGGCACGTGCTGAGGACAGTGTCCTGGGCTCAGCCAGCCCAGGGCACAGGGCTTCCCCCAGGCCCGCCACTCACCAGTTGCCACAGTCTTTCTGCAGTACGGTGCCCGGGGGGAAGAAGCTGCCTCGCCACTCGCAGGGGCAGGAAGCCGGCTCGAGGCAGACTCCTCCTGAGATCACAGAGGGCAGGGCTCTGGCAAAAGGGGCGCGGCAGCCCTCTGTGCCAGCCCTGTCACCATGGCCTTGTGGGCCCCTCCCCTCTGCCCACTCTGACCCTACACACAGTGCAGGAGAGTCCCCTCAGGACAGAAGCAGCCCTCCACACGGGCAACGGCCTGGCAGTGCCACCCAGGCTCAGGACCGTAGTCATGGCAGGTTGGGGGGGGACGCATGGGGCCACAGGCCTCATACCCCTGGCCCCCTTCACACTGCAGAGCTGGGTGGAGAGGAGAGAGGCTTGGGTCCCTGAGGTGCAAGGGCACCAGGGTGCAACAGCGGCAGGCGAGCCAGCCCGAGGCGACACTCAGGAGGGCACGGGGGTGCGTGGTGCAGACCCTTGCCGAGCCCCTGCCGAGGCTATGTGCCACGTGCGCGCTCCACAGAGCCGCAATTTCATCGTGTTTGGTTCATCTAGGGAAGTGGCTGGCGCACAGTGAGTGCTCCACACGTATTCGCCCTTGAATGAATGAACGGCTGGCTCTCAGGCTAGAAGTATCCTAGCAGGAGCTGAACGTGTGGTGGGATTGGGCATCCGGGACCCAGGGTGGGGCACTCACGGCACAGCTCCTGGCTGCGCCAGCGCACGTGGATCCCGTGCCATGCCGGGAACACTCGTCTGCGTAGGTGGCGATGGCCAAGCAGAGACACTCACAGTCGCCCCCTGAATCACATCTGAGGGAGGGAGCGCTCGGGCCCAGCCCTTCCCCAGGCCTGCTCCTCTCACCTGCGGGTGTCACGCACACACCACTCGAAGTGCTGCTCTGGGGCACCTCCGCACCGCACCGGGCAAAGAGCGGCTGCCGCATCACCCCGCAGCAGGCGCGGGCCCAGCCGGGCACACCACGGTGGACCAGCCAGACTCCTCCGCAGCACCCAGCCTCTCGAACCCCCCCACCCCGGGTTTCCGCAGCTGCCCTTCCTCGCTTCCCCCTTTCCTGCCCATCCTCACGGCGCAGGGGTGCCGCAGGTCCCCTGGCTCTGGGCAGAGAGGATTGAGGCACCAGGAGTGGGCAACCAGTTCAGCCGTGGTCTCCAGGCAGGACTCCCTGGCGGCTCCGAAGGTCATTACTGGCATCTCCATCAAAGTCTCCACACAGCCCAGCCACCCGGCCGCGGAACTCGGGGGACAGCTGCACCAGGACCCGGGTGCCCGGACGGAGAGGGCAGCAGGGGGAAGGATTGTGGAGACAGGATCCCGGAGGCCTTCTTTAGGGCAGGGGGCTGGGAGAAGACCTAGGTGCCTATTATGTGGGCCTGCTTGACCTTCCCAGGTAAGTACCACCACCCACCAGGGGACGCTGGCTCCCTCTTTCGGGGGTGATGATTGGTGGGGATAGAAGAGACCTACCTTTGGGGGGCTAAGGGCAAGAAGTGAGAGCTTACCTTCCGAACTAAACCCAGGTTGGGGGGGGCGGTAGGGAAATTCTCCAAAGGGCAGGATTCCAGACTCCAGGACGGCCTGTGACACCCACCAGCCCCAGAGGCCTCAGTGCAGGTGACTTTTTCCCACAGTGGGGGTTATTTTGATCTCCTTTGATTTCTCAGTAACGGTTATTTCTAAATCGCCAACTGCTTGGGTTTGGGTGGTGGGCTGTTAGGAAATGTATTTTTATTTCTTCTCTCTAAAACTTGGTATTTTTAAACTGTTTCTTTGGTGAGGAGGTATTGCTTTCATAATGAAGAAAAATATAATTATGAAAACATAATTTGGAGACTCTGACCACACATGAGAAGAAGGAACAGTTTGTGGGGAGCTTCGGGGTGGGGGTCAGATGGCTGGGGGCGGGGGCTGCCTCCATCCCAGAGCAGGGTGAAGCTCAGGCAGGTGGCGAGCTGCAGGAAGAGGCCAGCACGGCGCAGGCTCAGCCCGGAGCCCGTGTAGACCTTGGGGGGCGTTACACTCACCCCATTCACTGTCACTGCCTGGCCTGTGGAGGGAGAGAGACATTCAGGCTCAGCCTTGGAATAAAGGGGCTCCAAGATCCCCACGAGGCCCTCCTAGCCTCCCCTCCAACCTTTCCTTTGCTTCTCTAGCTGTGTGACCTGGGGCTAGTCATTAGACCTCTCTGGGCTTTAATTTCATGGAGCCTTCCGGAATTATGATTCCCAGCCAAGAGAAGAGGCACCAGCCCCACTGCACCGATGGTTAGCAGTGGGGAGACACAGGGAACCCCAGACCTCAGCTACCCATGCAGCTGTGATGCCACCTGGGGTGCCCCTCCCTGGCAACGTCACCCTTCAATGTCGCAGCCACCTCTCAGCATGTGCACAACGGTGCTCTGCAGGCGCACGGTCAGCGCCTTGGTGCAGGTGATGCCGCTGGCCCCGCAGGACAGGTCCTGGGCAGAGACTGTGAAACGGCCGCTGGCCCCGCACCAGCAGATACTCGCAGGCCCCGGGGAAGGTGAGGGCCAGCCCATCGAATGTCACATAGTGGGGGGTACCTGGTGCCTGGCACCGTCCATCACACCGCTGGCCCGTGCAGCGCCACTGCCGACCCTGGCACACCCTGTGGGCAACGGGGAGAGGGGAGACAGATTCACGAAGACAGGGACCTGGAACTGTATCCGGTGGAGGCAGCCGGTCCAGATTCCAAGCAACTCCAGACAGACCCTCAGTTTGGAGAGATGCTGAGGACTCCGGTTGTCCAGGCCAGTCTGGATATCGCACCCACCATCATCCCAGCCCCTAGCCAGGGGTCACTAGGTCACAGGGTTACAGGTCATGGGCTGGGCATACCAAATGTTATAGTCCTCCTGGATTGCAGCGTTGGGCAGGTACCACTGCCCACCGTGACGGCAGGGACAGAGCTCGGGAGGTACGCAGCCCTCATCCTGAGCAGAGGCCGGGGACAAAGGGCTTCTTGGCGGACTGCCTGATCCCCCCCCACACCAGTTACACACAGGCAGGGGTCAGGGCTGGGCTCTGGTTCGGGTAGCCCCCTCCAGGACTTACCAGCAGCACGGCTCCCGGGGGACAGACACAGCCCCCCATGCTGCCTGGGGGGCAGGAGCCATTGGCACTGGGGCTGTCACAGGTGAGGAGGGAGGCACCAGGGACGTAGACGAGCCCACGGGGGCAGAATGCCCATGGTGGGGCGCAGCGTTGAGCAGTGCAATTCCACAGGCCCCTCTCCTGGCAGATGCTGCCAGAGGTGGGGAGGCAGGTAAGGGCCAGGCCCAAACCCAGACTCACTTCCAGGCCCCTGACCTGCCCTGGGAGAGCCTCAGGATCCCAGGGGTCTGGAGCCCCTAACGTTGAGGGAAAATCCAGCTCTGACACTGGAGACCTGAGCGTCTCACCCCCGACCCCAGTTGTCACAAGCACAGGAAGTGTTTCCAGCACCTGGCCATACCTGGGATAGACACTGTCACCCTTTCCTGCCCCAACTCGAATAGAGGCCATTCTCTGGGCTCTGGGGAGGGGCAGAGATATTGAACAACCCTACTCCCAGCACAGGTAGGAAAAGGATTTCGCTGAAGTCTCACTCTCACCCACCAAAGCCTGAATCCGGCACAGCCCCTGTAGGTCTGTAACTTGCCTTTACTTCCTAACCCATTGAAGAGCCTCTGGACCACACTCACCTGGAATTCAGAGATCTGGGTTCTAGTCCTTCATCATTAACAAGCTATGTGACTCTGCAGGCTATTTAGCTTATCCAAGCCTCAGTTTCCTCATCTGCAAAATGGGAACAATTCTTCCTCTTCCTACCTTACTAGGTTATTGTAAGAATAAAGTAAGATTAAATAAGGTAATATATGTGAAAGCGCTTTACAAGCCCTGAAGTGCTCCACAACTGAGGGCAAGTTATCAGCATTTTGTCATTCTGACGTGCATGCCATCGGCCCGGAACCCACAGAGCTACATCCCCGGCCCCTTTTCTCTAAGCTCCACCTCTTCACCCCCAAGCTTTTTGCCTCCCGCCACGGGTGTGTGCTCTTACCAGTGGTTGCAGTCCTTCATGGTAGCACTGCCAGGGGCATAGCGATGGGCCCCAAGCTGGCAGGGGCATGAGCCGGGGGACACACACTGGCCCTCAGGGTCCCAAAGCAGCCCCAGGGGGGCAATTACAACCGGCCACACAGCTGCCCACCTCCCCACAGCCTTCAGTCTCCCCACAGTTCCGACCGCATACTGGGGCACACTCCTGGTACTCCTGGCCACCGGGACACAGGACAGCTGGGCACAGAGATGCATGCAGGTCAGGGGCATTGCCACTGCTGCTCTGCCCACCCCTCCGGACCCGACAGTCCCTACGTCTCTGAATGAAGGCAAACCCAGCAAACTGCCGAGGTCAGAGGTCCTTCTGGGGACCCTCCCCTGCTGCAAAGCCATTGGATCCCACTGAGCCATTCCTAGAAGGTGCTGGAAGAAAGAGCCTGGGGATGGGGCTGGCCGGCTGAGCAGACTCACGGCAGAGGGTCTGGTCTCTCCAGGAAAGCAGGGCACCCTCCTGGGCACAGTGCCGAGCATAGGCAGCGAGCACGGGGCACAGGCAGTCCCCGCCGTGGGTGCAGCCACACACAGGTGCCAAGCAGCGCAGGTGGAACCGTGCCCTGTCCACCAGCCCGTGGCACTCCTTGGAGGGAGATGAGGAAGGGGGTCGGCTCCTCCCGCACGGATTCCCCTGTCTTCTCTGGTCCCCACTGCCACCTCCCAGTGCTCAGCTGTCCTGGCACGGCACCAGGGCCCTCCCGGTAGCCCAGGAGGAGGGCAGGGCAAGTATTGACCCCATTTTCCAGGTGCAAACAGGAGGAGTGCCCCCAAGCTGGCTACCTGGAAGACTGGGCCATGCAAGATGGCACAGGCTGCCTCCACGAAAATGTGACGCTGAGTGTGGGTGCTGCAGCGGGAAAGCGGGGCGCTGTCCTCCGAGGGGCACCTTCCCTCGCCTGCCACTTGGAACTTGCTAGCAAAGGCGGCAATGCTGGTCTCCACGTTGCCAGCAGGAGTCAGGAAGTCATCCTGCTGGTTCCAGGCCCTCTGTGGCTTCGCCCAGCCACTCACCCGCCCTCTGGCACATCTGGAGGGCATGGCGGGCGTCCAGGGTGATGTAGGCTGCAGGGTCAGACGCTCCCCAGAGGACACGGGCCCCAGGCCAGCGCAGCAGCAGGAAAGTGTAAGAGGCGCCGGGAGACGCTGAGGCCCCCAGAGCCGCTCCAGGGCAAGACCACATCCTGCCCGTCCACCAGTACTGCTCCTGCAATAGGGGGTCTGTGAGGGGGCCACCCCCGCAGGGCTGGGCTGGGCTGATGACGGTGGGGGGAGGGCACATTGCAGGATGGGGCTGTGAGAAGGGGAAGGACCTGGGGCAGGAGCGGGGAGGGCCTGTGTCATGGTGGGCTGCCCACCCTGAGCAAGGGGAACTGGAGTGACCCCTGGGAGGTCACGCATCCCACCTACAACCCCCACGTGACCCTTCGCACCCACTTTGCCTTTGCCCTTGGAGTCAGTGTGCAGGAGGGGCTGGGACTGGGCCCTGGCTGTCCAGAGCTGGGAGGGGCCTGCCTGCCTCGGTCACCCCAAGAGGCCTTTCAGATCCCTCAGAACATTATGAATTGTATTTTCCCCTTAGGATGGGGCAGAAGATGCCTTGGGAAATTTCCACAGGACTTTATGTCTGCTTCAGAGATGGCAGAGTGAGGGGGAAGTTGAGGCAGTGATTTGGGCTGAGGGAGTCGCGGGAGAGTTGGGCTCAGGAACCACAGGGCAGTGTGGATGGAGGGTGCTGGACAGAGCCCAAGTCCACAGGGAGAGGAGAGATGACAGGAGGCCCCTGGGGCCTGAGCCACACTCCAGAGGGCTGCTGGGAGCAGAAGGCCTGGTAGGTAGGTACCCTGAGAGATGAGGCCACCTGAGTCCCTGAGCTGGACGTGGGTGTCCCCCAGGGAGACTGAGATGGCGTGGAGGCAGCTCCCAGCATTGCAGTCCCCGCGCTCCAGTACAGTCAGTAGCGGCCTCTTTACGAAGTCCTGGGGCCGATGGTGAGGAACATGGTGGCGGTGGGGCAGACCCTGAGAGCAGCTCCTGTTCTACTGGTCACCAACGGCACACACTGGGGCAGCTTCCACGCAGCACGTACGCTGACCGCCTGCCAGCCAGCCAGACTCTGTGAGGTAAGGGGCTTAACCCTCACCAAGGGCTGGCATATGTGACGTGTGTGTGCGTGTGCGTGTGCGTGCTCGCGTGCACCCGCATGTGGAGGTGTGTGTGTGCATGTTTGGGCAACATGTCTCCTCTCCCTCCTCCCTGTGGGTATGTACGCTCATCTCTGTGTGCCCGTGCACACACACACGCTAAATCTATGTGCACACGTGTGAGCATGTCATGTGCGAGCTCCTGTTTGTGCCTATGTGTGTAAGAAGGTGGCCTGGGCCTGGAGCTGGGAAGTCACCTAACTTTATTGGGGGAGGGCTGGGAGGAAGGAGGACCCTCATTTCCCCTAGGGTTGTTTTACAGGAAGTAGCGTGTGACAAGTCCAGCTGTCCCGTGTGTGAGAAAGGACCGTGAGGTTGGGTTTTGTTCTGGGCCCCTGGGCTGGGGTGGCGATGACGGCGGGACTTTCACAGGAACCTAAGGAGGAGGCAAGAACCCAAAGGGCAGGCTTGTGGGTCTGCGGCTGCCATCTTCCCTCCAGAGTCGTTTCTCTCTCAGCTTTTCCCTGGACGACTGTGTGTTCTGTTTATTTAGTGGTTTGCTTACAGTCCCTTCTCCCCCATAGCACCCCTGCGAGGGCCCCCGCTCTGGCACGACACCCCACTCCCGGACTTGGTCCTCTGGACACCTGCACCAGGCTGAAGCGGCGACCCGCGCGGCCGCGGAAGGAGAAGCTCCGCCCATCGAAGATGAGGTAATGCCCGTCCCCGCCCACCGCGCCCTCGGCGGGGCACGGCGCCTGCGCGCAGAGCCAGCGGCTGTCTTGGCCAACGCTGTGGGCGCGAGGGACTGGAGAGCGCGCTCCGGATCGGCCCCACGGCGGAGGCGGGGGGTGGGGGTGGAGTGGAGGGGGGTGGGGGTGGAGTGGAGGGGGGTGGGGGGTGGAGTGGAGGGCGTGGAGGGGGGCTGGGGGGTGGAGTGGAGGGGGTGGAGGGGGAGGGACCGAGCTGGAGACGCCCTCCTACCCCCCTAAAACCCTGGTCCCTCCCTCCCCCAGCACCCCCTTCTCCCCGTTAGCCCTAGAGGTCAACTGATGGAGGTCACCGGCTAGGTTTTTAAGCAGGGCCGTCACTCATGCCTTGAGAGGTCACAGGTCTCTTGTGAGGGAGGCCCCAGAAGGGAGGCAGGTTGAGGAGATAGCATAAGGGAGGGATCAGAGGGGACCAGGGAGCCTCCAACCCGAGCGAAAAGGCCAGCAAGGCCCGTGGACCCACCGCGGGCTGCACAGCTGGCGCACGGTGTCACCGGGGTCGTAGCGCCGGCGTCGGTGGTAGCAGGGCTAGCGGGCGGCAGGCACACAGAGGGCGCGGTCCCAGAAGAGGCCGGGCGGGCACTCGCAGCCGCTCACGCACTCCTCCCCGCAGGACCCCTCGCCCCCTTCGCCCACTGCCGAGCAGCTGGGCGGGCAGGCCGAGGCGCAGGCCGAGCACAGCCGGCCCCCTAGGCACAGGCGCTCTGCGGGCACAGGAGTGGCTGTGAGGCCCAAGGAGCTTCCCTCCCCCCGTCAGATCCCGCTGCCGCTGGAGAGCCAGCAGGCCTTGGCAGCCCCCCGAGAGGGGCGCTCAGGGGGTGGCGGACCCCTCAGGAAACAGGAGCCACGTGACAGCCCTCGGTCAGTTCCCAGTTCCACAGGGTGGGTAGGCCAGAGGCTGTGCACAGAGGGACAGGCGGGAGCCCTACCGCAGAAGCCGGGCTTCCTCCAGCGCACGTGGATGCGTCGCGCCGCACGATCCTGGGCGTAGCTGGCCAAGGTGGGGCACGCAGCCTCCAGCCGCTCCTCCCGCCCACTGCCCGCTGGGGCCCCAGCACGGTAGGCAAAGAGGAAGGCCTTGTGGTACTCAGCAGGGGGCACCTGCCGAACCGGGACAGCCCCTCAGCCAACCAGCCTTCTCCAGTACTCATCAGCGCCTCCCTCCTCTTGCTTCCAAAACGCCCTGGTTTATAACCAAACAGGTGAACACTGCAAGGGACCTTAGAGATAATATATAGGAGCCTCCCAGAGGGGGCGCCCTGACCGACGGCCCAAAGCAATTTGGTGCCTGGACCAGGTGCCCCGTTTGGCAGCTCCCCAGCACTCCCCCTTCCCACCCCTCCAGTGCCTGATGCCACCTGCACCCCCACCCGTACCTGGACATGGCATTCCCTGCATGGACCGTCCAGCAACTGATGGCACACATCCTGGGCTGCAGCCTCGTAGCGCAGTGGTTAAGAATCCGCCTGCCAATGCAGGGGACACGGGTTCGAGTCCTGATCCGGGAAGATCCCACATGCCGCGGAACAACTAAGTCCGTGCACCATAACTACTGAGCCTGCGCTCTAGGGCCCGCGAGCCACAACTACTGAGCCCGTGTGCCACAACTACTGAAGCTCGCGTGCCTAGAGCCCGTGCTCTGCAACAAGAGAAGCCGCCTTAATGAGAGGCCTGCGCACCGCAAAGAAAAGTAGCCCCCGCTCGCTGCAACTAAAAACAAGAAAGCCCACGTGCAGCAACGAAGACCCAACGCAGCCAAAAATAAATAAATAAATAATTAAAAAATAAAAGAATTCTAACTGCCTGTCAGGGGAGCAAGTGACGGCCGGGGCTGTGCCTTTCCCGCAGGCTGGGGTCTGTGGACCCACCGGGGAGTTTGTGGCTGGAGCAGCTGTGGCAGGGCTGGGAGTGGCCGTCCCGCCAGCTGTGTCCCCAAGGCCAGGCTCAGCACTCCTCCAGGCTTCCCACAGAAGCGTTAGCTGAGCCTGCCCTCGGCTGGCACAGCCATGTGGCAAAGCAGCGGCCCTCAAGGCTGGCTTCGGCAAGGGCTGTGGTGGGTAGAAAGAGAGAATGGGCAGAGCCAGACGGTCAGCCTGGACCGGACTTCCCTCCCCAAGGCGGACTGCCACCTCCAGGCAACCCTGGATCTGGGCTAATCTCAGGCGCTTACCCAGGGTGCAGTGGGTGCCCCCACCCCATCCCCCCGCCCCGAGCCTGGGCAGCAAGCCCTCACCGTCAGGTTCCATGCAGCAGGCCTGGTTTCCGGGGGTCTGGGTCCACCAGGTAGGGGGAGGGGAGAAGATGTTAGTGTTCAGCCCCATCCCTGGGAATGGCCTGGGACATTCAGTCTGGTCACCTACTCTCTGAGAGGCTTTATCGTGTAATTTTCCCTTCTTGGTCTCCATTTCCAAAGCGAGAATGATCTCGGGAAGGCGGACTGAAGGGGGGGCACGGGGAGCAGGCATCATGACTCTCCCTGCGCTGCCCACGGAAGTGCCCACTCATCCCCCACCCCCACCCTCCGCCCCTCTGGAGCCCACCCACGACCTGCTTCCCAAATGCCCGCTTCTCCAGGTCACCGCTCAGTCCTCCCCTACTCTAAGGATGTCACCCCACGGCTCTCTCCTGCTCGGCAGGTAGCCCAGCCTCCACGTCACTCACTTGTAGATGGGGCAGAGCCCCCCACGGCCACTCCAGGTCAAGTCCAGCCGCCAGCCCCGGCGCTGGTAATGATGGAGGCTGGTGCAGGGCACCAGGTCCTCCTGACGGGGGGGTTACTTCCTCCTCCACCAGGATGGTCTCTGTCCACTCACACCACCGCCTGCCCATAGATGGGGAGCGACAGCTGCGGCCACTGTCCGCATCTGTCCGGGAGGCCCTATCCTGTGACCCCACTCCCCGTGGAGAGTTAGTTAGCTGAGGGGGAGGCTAAGTTACGCAGGCTGAGAGAAGGGGGTGCGGGAAGGAGTCTGGCTGCCCCAGAGGGGCCTGGGCCTGCGGCAGGAGGAGAAGGATCTTAGTCCGAGGAGCCCCAGGGTGGGCTGCTTACCCGTTAGCCAGTGCCCATGCCGTCCCACAGAGGAGGGCAGGGAGCAGCATGGCGACCCCCAAGTCACCTTTGGGGGCTGTGAGGCTTTGAGGAGCCAATGCCGTGGCAGGTGAGCAGAGGCTGGGGCTGGCCTCCCCAGCCCCACACTGCTGCTACTGCAGCCTGGGGTCAGTGTGTCCAAGGCGGCCTGAGACAGCGAACGTGAGGCCCGTGGCACTGGGGAGGTGTTATCTCAGCCCCATGCCCAGCTGCCCAGAACCAGATTGGACCTGCCTGCACATGGCGCAATCCCCTCAGAGGCCAGCTGAGGCCAGCTCTCCCTGGAAACAATCCCCTTCCTGTGTGTGTGAGTGAGTGTGTGTGTGTGTGTGTGTGTGTGTGTGTGTGTGTGTGATGGGGGGTCCGTGTGTCCCTGATAGTACACTCTCAAGCCCTACCACCAATTAACGTGGACAGGGGCAAGCCACACTCTCTTTCTGGGACTCAATTTCCTTACCAGTAAAAACCTCAGGGGCCTCCCGGGGAATCACAGGTGGGACAGGGGCTCCACGAATACTTTGAAATTGTGTGTGTGCATGTTTTTCTGATGACAGTTCCATAACTTTTATTAGATTCTCAAGGGGGGCCGTGACCCCACAATAGTGTTAAGAGTCACAGGGCCACGGCCTTCCAGCCCTCAAATCCTGAGTGTCTGATCCTCTCCCCTGTCCCTTTCCTGCTTCTCCTGCCAAGCACTCCAGAAACGAGGGTCAGTGAGCAGAAGGAATGGGGTTTCCAGGGCGATTGGACTGTTTGCGGACAGGGGGGTGGCATGCGCCCTTCCCTCTGTGCGGTCTGACTTCTTACTGAGGGTGATCATTTGTGGCTGGCGGGGTCCATCTGCTCTCCTAGGGTCCCTGGGATCCAGAACCAGGAAGCCCAGATAGGGGAAGGAGAGCCAGCCTCAGGGAGGAGTGCCTGGGCTAGAAAGTGTGGGGGGCAGGGTGCAGAGGGGCCTGCAGCCAGCTCCCCCAGCCCTTGGGGCAGGGCAACCGGATGGGATAATCTGAGCAGACCATCCGGTTGGAAGAGGGTTGGGCAGCAGCTCGCTCCCCAGGGGAATCCTGGTTACATCCTGGTTACCGGTCACCAGCTCCGAGGACACTCAGGCTGGAATGTGGTCTGAGCCTCAGATCCTGTAACCCTCCAACCCCTAAACCTGATGTGCCTCCAGGCATCCCACACAGTCACCCCACCTGTGGTGGGCAGGGTTGCGGGGGGCTGCCGGGAACCAGAGCCCTGCCAGGCATTCTTCCAGGCCGACCCTTGGTCCTGGGCCAGGAGAAGGCGCAGTGAATCCCTCAGGGAGCTCTCGGAGGGGGTCCTCGGAAAGGTCCAGGGTCAGGCCGTGGACACCCAGCTGTTCCCAGCCTCTCACACATGCACACCTGGACACTCTCCCTCTGGCACCTAACACACACTCGCACTGCAGGTCTTGCAAGGACAGACCGAGGTGCCTGTGCCCCATGCTGGCACACAGTGATGTGTTCTGCTCCCAGGGCCGTCCTGCAGCCCGATGACCAGGCCAGACACTGAGCGGCTGAAGCAGCCCATACAGAAGGTAGAAGAGCCCTCCACAGCTGATTCCGAGGCACCCTGTGCTCTTCCAGGCATCACCTGTTCCTGTCCCCCTCATCCTAAGCATCAACAAATGCTGATGTGCCCCTGCTGCATGCTGTGCTTCTCTGTGCCCTGGTGTCCCCTCCAGGTGATGGGGTGTGGAAGCCAGGGGAGGCTGCTCTTCACACCGAGTCATCCCCACCCCTCCCGGAAAAGCCACACGTGGATTGGGGAGAAATACAAGTCACATCCTTCTCTCTAAAGAGGCCAGGAGGGAGGAAGCTAGAACCCAGAGGAGATTGGAGAAAGAGATTAGAGAGGGAGGCCTGGAATAACCAGCCTACATTTTAGATGGAGGAGGACGGGATACGGGAAGCTTTCAGGGGTTGGGGTGCCCAAGTGGCAAAGCTGAAGATAAACGTCACAACCAGGGGCAGGGATGTCTGAGGGCTGAGGGCACCCCTCCACACCCGACTGGCAGAGGTTTCCAGCCGGGTGGGAGGATCCGCTCCCCACCACGCCCAGGGGACTCTGCCCTCTCGTCGCAGCGGCTCCCCTGGATGCCGCCCCGGGGAGTCTTCACCCCATCCAACTCCGGCCTCACCCCCGACGCCTCCTCGCCAGCCCTGCCTTTTCCCAGGTGACCTGGTTCAAAGCCCCCATCCCAATTTCTACTTCGAAGGTCACGTTCTTAGCAGGCACTGGGGCCCAGACTGGTCTCCTTCGGGCTCTCCTCACCGCCCCCAAGGGACCCGGCTCCCGCGGTGGGTCTAAGATCGGTGGGGGGCGGGGGGGGGTACGGGTCTGGGTGGAGCCGAGTGGGATCAGGGTGGAGAGCGGGGGCAGGGCCGCAGGTTCCCAGACCGACCCCACCGACCGACAGTCGGGGACTCGATCCCGCCGCGGGAGCGCGACGCAGACACATTCCGCCGGACACTTGCGATTCAAAGACAGCAGCGCAGACACTAGCTCCCTTCCCCTTAACAGGCCCCCTCCTCTTCCCCCCAACTCCACACCGCCCCCCGACGCCCCGCGCTCCACCTTTCCCCTGGCTCCTCCCTCCGCGCCTGCCGGCACCCTCCCTCGCAGCCCGAGTGCCCTTCCTCCTTGCCTCCTCTCCCTCCTCCACCCCTTCCCCCCGCACTCCTCTCCCCCCCACCCCTTCCCCTCCCCCGTCCTTAGCTCCCACTTTCCATCACCTACTGCGGGCCGTCGTTCCTCCAGACCCTCACCTGCCCGCCTAACCCGCTGGGCACCCTCTCCACTCCTGGGCACCCTGTCCCCGACCTCCCCCACTGGCTGCCCCGCTGCCCCCTCCCGCCTCCTCGCTCCCCTCCCCCTCCCGGGCGCCGCTTCCCCGCTCCCGCTCCCTCCGCGTCTTTTCCTCTCCCCTCCCCGCGAAGTTTCGGGGCTGTCAGTCTGTCAGTCTCCGGGCAGTCCGCACCCGGACTGCAGGCGGCGGGCGCCATCGCGAGCCGAGCCCGCGGGGGCAGGAGGCCGGGGCGCCGGGGTCCGGGCGGCAGCGGGGAGACCGTGGAGGCGCCCAGGGCGGGCGCTCCGCCGCTTCCCCGCCACACCCGCACTCGCAGCCACCGCCCGTGCGGCGCAGGTGACAGCCCCGGGGGTGCGGGCGCCCGGAGCGCAGCAGGGGTGGGGTGGGGCTGGAGGGGAGCGAGGGCAGAGGAGCGGCGAGGGCCGGAGAAGGGAGGGGTGGGACCGGGGAGGAGGGCCGGCTCGGGGGTCAGGGCTTTGAGGAGAGCGGAGAGGCGGCATCCGGAGGGATGGGCGGGGGCTGGGGAGAGGGGTCCGGGTGGGAGTCAGGTGGGAAAGGGTGGGAGGCCCCCGAGGGCAGGGAGTGGGGCGTCTCCGGAGAGGGGGCAGGGAGTGTGGGAGGGGGCCGAGGGGCACGGGCGGGAGTCGAGGCGCGGGGATCCGGCGTTCGGGAGGGGCGCGAGAAGGGCGCTGACAGGTGAGCCCGGGAGCCGGGAGGGCGTCGGGACGTGTAGTGAGCTCCAGGCGGAGGGGCTCCGGGGGACAGATGGAGGCGGGGAAGGGGGTGGGAGGGGTCTGGGCGACAGGAAACCTTGGGAGGGGTGAGAAGTCAGTGGGGAGCAGAAATGGGGAACGGAGCCCCGGAGAGGGAGGGGAGGGACGCGGAGGTGGGTTGGGAGGCAGGGGCGGGGAGGGGCAGGGCCGGCGGGGCAGTCGGAGGGAGCGCTGAGCCTCAGACCCGAGGCTTGCTGGGGGCCGGGCGACTAGGCGGGAGCTCGGGGGGGCGGACTGGAAGGGGGAGGGGAACAGCAGTTCTGGGGAGTGGGGACCAGGAAGGAAGGGAAGCGAGAGCCCGCTGGGGAGGCAGAGGGGGAAGGGAGACGGGGCCTCGGAGGGGAAGGAGAGCTGCAGGAGGGAAGGATGGAGGGAGGGAGAGGGTGGTGTGGGGAGAGGAGGAGGAGGGCTGGGGAGCGGGGGGGGGGGGGAAGGGAACTGGGGGGAAGAGAGGAAAGGAAATCAGAGTGGGGGAGGAGAGGGAGAGGGGAGGGGAGAGCCGGGAGGAGGAGGGCGGTGTTGGGGAGGAAGGAAAAGAGGAGGGGGAAAGGAAGGGAGAGGGTTTGCGGCCGGGGAGGGGGAAGGAGCCGGGGGAGAACCGGGAGGGGAGGGAAAGGCAGCCCTGAGCCTGGGGAGGGGGGAGGGGAGCTCTGCCGCGGAGGCTGCCCCAGCTGAGGGTCAGGGGGGCGGTGGCTACGGAGGGCAGACCCGAGGGGGCCGAGAGGGGTTGGCAGGCAGGCTGTGGGCAGGGGGAGGAGCCGGAGGGGCGGGGCAGGGGGCGGGGCTGGACAGCCAGCCAGCTTCCGTGGGGAGAGAGGGCGGAAGGCGGAGGGAGCGGGAGAGGGGAGGGTGGAGGGAAGGCTGCCAGAGACTGGGGGGGAGGGGAGTCTGCTGGGGGAGGGGCAGGGGATCCGCTGGAGGAGGAGCCGCGAAGGCGGCTCGAGGGCCGGGTGTCCAAGCCTGGGAAAGCCCCGTGGGGGAGGGGCGATGGTTTGGGGGAGGTGAAGCCAGAGTTATTCCTGCCTCCGGTGAGGACCCTCCTCCGAGAGCCTCCCCACCAGTTGCCCAGTAGTGATACTCACCTCCGCCCCTAGGCCGGCTACTATTTCACCGGCTCCTGCAATGACAGCTGGAGGGCCTAGGAGACGAAGTTCCCCGCTCTCCCCTCCGGTCTCCCACCCTCCACCCTCTCCCCAGAGAATCGATTGACTCCTGACACCCCCAGGCAAGGGCCCTGGGGGGTGGGGAGCGCTGAAGGGCCGGTGCTGGCTCTGAGAGACCTGCAGGTGAGGGTGGCAGGCTGATTTCCAGAGCTGACCTGAGCTTAGCTTGCAGAAACGGCTTCAAGGCCTTCGCCTTGGTCCACCTTCAAAGGTCTCTGCTTTCTGAAATCCACGTTCCCTCATTTCCCTCACCTGTACCTGAGGACATCACCTTTGGAGCTCCTGGAGATAGCTGACGGGGAGAGGTTGGGCAGAGCCAGGACCCAGGTGGAAGCTGAGAAGAATCTGAACAAGGCTGTATTTCTCCTTAGGGTCTGTGGCCGGATCCCCAGGAGGAGTTATCCTGGGTTGCCATGAGAGAGACCTTCGAGGCCCTCAGGTCCCTGGGTGAGCCAGCAGAACTGAAGGAACTTGGATGGGGGGCAGGGGAATAGGAGGATTCAAGAGCATACTACGCCTGCTGCTTCCCTAATTCAGACAGCAGAGCATCCTCAGGAGGTTGCCACCCTGATACCCCGGAGACCCGAGGAGCCTTTCTTTAGGGCAGCATCCTTTTCGGTTTCATCAGGAAGAATGCCTGGTCCATGTTGGAGGTTGTGCTAGTACTCACAGAACAGCAGGATATTTAAATCTATTCTCTCTTCCTTCTGTCGCCTGTCCTTGACGCAGTGCAAGGGGGCTGAGGTCGATACCTGGCCAAGACACTGCAGGGCCTGGCTGTCCCTTGTCCTAGTTAGAGACCCTTCCTTCCTGAGCACATGGGGAAAACCCATTGGGTGGGCTGGGAAGGGGAAGACCCCCCCATCTTTGATCGCCTCTTCTGTACTTTGTGCTTTACTTGGACCCATCCTTTTGCCTGTAACAGGACTCTCTGTGGGACAGCCGGAGATGGCCCCCCAAAGTGAGCCTGGGGAAGAGTCCCAGAATGCCCAGGAACAGATGTCCCCTCCCCGGGAAGAGAGAGCGCTGGGCAAATGCTCAGGTAAGTAAGTGGGGACCAGGGAAGGTGGCTCAGGGCAGAGTCTTCCTTCCTTTGTTATCAGGTGTTTATTGAGCACCTACTACGTGCTCCATGCTATTCTAGATATTCAGGATACCTCAGTGACCAAGGAGACAAAGATCCCTACCTTCCAGGAGCTTAATCCTAGTGAGGGCAGAGGGTCAACAGACAACAAATGTAGAAATAAGTGTACTTATAACCCGTGTTAGAAGAGGCTATGTGCTTTGGGGGCGTAAAGCAGGGTGAGGGAGCCTGAGACCACTGCAGGTAGGGGCGGGGCAGGCTGGAGGATTAAATAGTGGGGTGAAAGTAGGCCTCATTGGGGAAGTAAGATTGGAAAGAGGTGAGGGAGGCAGCTAAGCAGATGCGGGGAGAAGATGCCTAAGGCAGGCGTGGACCTGGCTTTCTGACACCCCGATCTCCTCTAATGATTTGCCTTGGAACTGGAGTCCATCTGGTGGCTGGGAGGTCCCCCATCTCCCCTCCTAGGAGCCTCATGTAAGCCTCAGGGCAGGGACCCTTCCTTGCTTCCACTATCTTACACACACATATTCCAGAAACTCCTCACAGCTGTGGCTCTTGCAACCTGCACGGCCTTAGCAGCTGCCCTGCTTGAAGGAGCCTGAGGCTGCCCTGGGGCAGCTGGGAATTCAGCCCCTGCAGGTATGATGTGGGATGCAATCCTGCCGGTGGGGCTGGGACCGGGGTGTCAAAAGCCCCTGCTTCCTAGCGCCAGTGGGGAGCTCTGTCCATCTCTGATGTCTGCGGCGTCCTTGAGGTAGCCTGTTCTCTGCCAGGGCGCGAGGCCCCCAGACCAGAGGAAGGTGCCCCCACTGAACAAGCTGAAGCTCCCTGCAGAGGAGGCCGGGCATGTGCACCACGGAAGGCTGAGCCCATGGGCTCCTGCCCAGGTGAGTCTCCCCAGCTCTCCGTCCCACCAGGGGGCCAGGCGGAGGGAGCAGGGGCCTGCCAGCTCCAGAGCTGCTATCTGAGGAGGCAGCCCCCCCAGGCCCTCCCAACCCAAGATGAATCACGCCCTGGCACCTTTCTGCTGTAGAGCTTCAGCACGCAGAGGGAATTCTACATCCACAGACAACAGGAGTCAGAGAGGCTGGCCACCAAAGAGAAACACACTCTCACCTCAACATCCTCCAGAAGCCTTAACTTCCCAGCCTGTCTCCCCCAAAGTTCATTCCTGTTGACAACTTGAAATATGCTTCCCAGGAAGACATGTGGCGTTGATCAACCTTTTCACTGTCTCTCCCCAGACACGCTCCTTCCCCCAAATCTCCACTGATCTCGGTGCCTCGCAGATGCTCCGAATCTGCTGTATTTGGCGCATCTCCCCCATACGCAAGGCGATCAGACAGTTCGTTCCCTCTCCACAGTCCTACCCGTCACTTCCTTCCACTACCACCAGCTTTATCCCCTTCTGCCTGGGTGATGTCACTTACTCCACGAGGGCTTATCTCGTGCCCACTAGGTCCAGGCTGTGTTAGGTAGAGCGGGAAGAGGGGGCTCTAGAGTGACACGGTCCTGGTTTGAATCCTTGCTCCACAGTTTTTGCCTGAGCGACCTTGGATAGGCTAGAGGAGCCTCAGCTTGTCCACGAGAAATAAGACTCACTTCTGCACAGGGGTTTTTGTGCAGGTTTGTGAGAGAGCGTATGCAGTGCTTCATCTGCAGTTGGCACTCAGTACATGGTGGCAACCCTCATTTTCATTAGGCGCGTAAAGAAACAGAACACAAGATGCCTGCCCTCCAGAAACTGAAATCTGATACCAATATGAGCCAGAGTAAAGAATGAAAAGAACAAATAACAAT